CTGCTGCAGCAGCAGCAGCGGGGGAGGGCGGGCGGGGCCGGCCGGCGTGCAAAGGCAAAGCCAAGTGAAGCTTATCTTCTTTTCTTTGCAACAAAGAATCTTTCTGAGACGCCGTGTGGACTCAGCGACCTTTGCTTCCCCAGTGCCGCGTAAACTGCTGTTCTTTGTTTAGAGCTGCTGCTGCTGCTGCTGCTGCTGCTGCAGCAGCAGCAGCACGGGGCGCCGCGCAGCGGAGAGTTTGCTGTTTGTTTTGTATTTTTAATTGGGGAAAGTTCGCCGGAGGGGCGGCGGGGAGGCGCGGCGAGGTGTACAGACACCGCGGGGCCGTGGCCGCGGGTGTCTGTACACCCGGGTGTCTGTACACCCGGGGTGTCTGTACACCTGCGCCCACGCGCAGAGCCCGCAGCTGAGGCCTTTAGTTTTTATGTGGAGTTCTTTTTCTTGCTTTCTGTGAGGGAGTTACCTCTCCACTGCTCGGCCGCAAGGCCTTCTAATCCACTAATGGACTTCTTCGTTTCAATTCAATCAGTCAATTCCACAAAGTCCGAAACCCACCAGCCCCAGTGCCTCGGGGTGTACAGACACTTGACCCGACGTATGTACAGCAGAGGCCTGTACAGATAGACGCGCCGAGTTGGCCATGGTTGCACATATATATATACACATATATATATATATATATATATGTATATGTATATGTATATGTAAATATATATATGTGTATATGTATATATATATATATTTCTTATGTATATGTGTATCTATTCAATCTATATATATATATATATATATATATATATATATATAGATTGAATAGATACACATATAAGACATACATGCTGTATATATGTTTAGATTTCATAGATACATGTATTCATACATATACGTATATATTTAGATTGCAAAGGTACACATATATGTCAGTATACACACATATATTGAAACATATATAGGTACATATATATATTATATATATGTGTATATATATGCATTTATAGACGCATGCATGCACAATGTATGTATGTGCATATATCAAGACGTACATAACACAAGGGCAGCAGGCTTCCCGTTGGGGAGTTGGCGAGAATGCCACGAGGGCTGGCAAAAGCTAGTTAGATTTAATGCGGCTCTGCAATCCTATAAATAATAATTCTTTTGTTTCCTTTAAGAAAAGAAGATAGAAATAGAAAAACTTTGTTTGTTTTTGGTTATTGCATGCAAAACTGCACTCGCAGTCATCCGTCGTAGTCTAGGTGGTTAGGATACGCGGCTCTCACCCGCGCGACCCGGGTTCAAGTCCCGGCGACGGAACTTCTTTTTTCTTTTTTTTATTCCGAATTCTTGAAAACATTTTTGTTTTTGATTTATATTTTGTTTATCAATTTCTGTCTGCAGCGAAGAAAAGACTAACTAACCGTGATTGTCGGCGGCGGAGGAGGCAAGGGTCGTGGAAGCCTCTGCGTGTGCAACTTTTTGCGGGAGGCGGGAAAGTTGCATTTTAATCTATTTTTAAAGTCTTTTTCTTATTTTCCACCTCTTTTTGAATGCCAAAGAGCGGCATTTTGCGCCGATATTGCTGGCGCTGCGTCTGCTATCCGCGGGTGGCGTCTGCAGTTCAAGTTCAGCCACTGGCGGCGATCCGCCGCGCCGGAGCGGGAAACTGGCGTTTAAATGCAAAAGTCTGTTTTCTTTAGAACTTGGAAAGCTTTATGAAGGGCTTTAATGGGCCCAGCCGCGCAGAAGTCGCCGCAGAGAGTGCGTGCGACTTTGCGCAGCGCGAGCGTGCAAGTTGAAAGCCCGAAACCTGTGCAGAGTTAAACTGCTGCTGTTCACCCCTCAGTCTGCTTTTTATTTTTCTTCTTTTGCTTCGCCTCTCAAGCGCGCAGGCCTCTGGCGCAGCTCCGCCGCCACACCCTTTCTGTCTTTCGTTGTTTCCTTGGCCTTCTCCGTCAAACCAAATGGCCCAGTGACCCCGGGAAGAGCTGCCTGTCTTCCCTTTGGGTTTTCTTTTCTTTGAGCTCTTCGGAGCTGCTGCAGGCTGCAGCAGAAGGCCCCAGAAGCCTCCGGGGAGGTCCTGTGTCTTCGTTTCACTTTGTTTTCGGGTTTCGCCGCCCCTGATGACTTCTTCTTCCCAGCTTACCTGCAGCAGCTGCAGCAGCGGACGCCGGACCTGAGCAGCAGCAGCAGCAGCGCAGCAGCAGCAGCAGCAGCGCAGCAGCGGCAGCGGCAGCAGCAGCAGCGCAGCAGCAGCGGGCCGCCATGGCTCTCCCTCTCCGGGCTTCCCTAGAGTCTGCGAGGGCCTCTTGGCCCGCCGCGCGGGGCCCCTGCATGCACCGGTTTGGGGGCCCCCCTCCAGCTGCTGCAGCAAGGGGTGCAGCGCAGCTGGGGCCCCCGCAGCAGAGGGGGGCCCCCTCATTTGGGCCTTCCCCTGCGTCCCAGCGGGAGGCTGAGGGCCCCCCGCGGCCCAGGCCTCCGTGCATGCGCTCCCCCAGGCCTTTTCACAGTTACGGGGCTTATCTGGGGGTCCCCTTGAGGGGCCCCGGGGCCCCCTGGGGACGGGGGGCCCCCCGGGGTCCAGGGGCCCCCCGTGCCCCCGAGGCCCCCCTCCCAGGGCCCCTTGCAATGCATTTTCAAATGAGCAGCAGCATATTTTTGGACAAAAGTTTCTTAGCAGCTAGTAATGGGTCTTGGCTAGAAAAGGGGACTGCGGAGGGACTGTCTGTACACCCCAGAAGCAGAAAAGGAGACAAGTCGCGCGCGGGCTGGCGGTGGAGGACTCTGGCAGCAGCAGCGGCGCCGCTGGCTGCAGGGCCTGTGCAGCAGCAGGAGGAGCTCGAAGAGCAGCAAGAGGAGGAGCAGCAGCAGCAAGAGCAGCAGCAGCAGCAAGAGCAGCAGCAGCAGCAGCAGCTGCGGCCTGGGGATGTTGAGTTGGCTGCTGCGGGTTCTGCGGTGTGGAAGCGCGCGCAGCAGTACTTGCTGGCGGAGAAGCTGGAGAAGATGCTGCTAGCGGCGTTCTCCCGGCTGGGCAGTTTGCGCAGCAGCAGCAGCAGCAGCAGCAGCAGCAGCAGCAGCAGCAGCGAGGTTTGTCTGGAGAGTGGGGCTTCGTGGGGCGTGAGCGGGTGGGTGCGTTTTTTGCGGAGTTTGTGGTCTTTGCTGCTGGCGACTGTGGACTACAAAGTGACGTTTTTTCGGTTGTACCTGCTGTCGGTGCGAGAGGAGCAGCAGCTAGCAGCAGCAGCAGCAGCAGCAGCAGCAGCAGCAGCAGCCGCCGCCGCCGCCGCCGCGGCCGCCGCGGAGGGCCGGGATTCGGAGGCGGCGGCGTTGCTGGCTGCGGCGGAGCAGCACGGAGCGGAGAGCGCGCGGCTGCGGGCAGCAGCAGCAGCAGCGCGCAGCAGCAGCAGCGCAGCAGAGCAGCAGGCGCATGCGCGCGGCGCAGCAAGACTGCTGCGGCTCTGCAGCAGCCACGGCGGCCTCTACGTGAAGCTGGGCCAGTACGTGGCCACGCTGCAGCACGTGCTGCCAGCAGCTTACGTGCAGACTCTGTCGCAGCTGCAAGACAACGCAGCCAGAGTGCCCTGGGGGGAGGCCCTGCTGCTGCTGGAGAGCGAGCTGGGGGGCCCCCTGGGGGCCTTTTTCTCCGAGTTCGACCCCGAAGCTGTTGCTGCTGCTTCTCTGGCCCAAGTCCACTGGGCGCGGCGGCGCAGCGACGGGGCGGAGGTGGCGGTGAAGCTGCAGCGGCCGCTGCTGCAGCAGCACTGCGCAGCAGACTTGCAGGGGCTGCGGACTTTGTTTTGCGTGCTTTCTTTTTTCTTTCCGCGCTGCAAGTTCGGCTGGCTGCTGCCGGAGTTCCAGCGGAACCTGCAGCAGGAGCTCAGCTTCCGCCAGGAGGGTTTCAACGCGGCCAGGGCTCGCAGGCTCTTCGCTGGCTGCAGCCAAGTCTATGTGCCTTGGGTGGACTGGACTTTGACCACTGACAAGGTCTTGACGATGGAGTTCGTTCGCGGCGCGAAGCTCACGGACCCTCTCGCGCTGCAGCAGCACGGAGTTGCTGCGCAAAGCGCGCCCCAGCTCGCTGCGCTGCTGCTCAAGGTCTTCGGCGAAATGCTGCATCTCCACGGGCTCGTCCACTGCGACCCCCACCCCGGCAACCTCCTCGTCCGCAGAGTCCCGCCCCCTTGCCACCAGCAGCAGCAGCAGCAGCAGCAGCAGCAGCAGCGGAGGCGCCTGCTGCGGCTCAGCTGCGACGCCCGCGAGGGCCCGCAGCAGCAGCAGCAGCCAGTCCACAGCCACCGCGCAGGCCTCCAGGCCGCAGACCACGCCAACGAACACGCCCCCGACCCCGGAAACACCAGCAGCACCAGCAGCAGCAGCAGCAGCAGCAGCAGCGGCAACTGCAGCGGCGACTGCAGCGGGAACTGCAGCAGCTGCAGCGAGGGGCAGCTGCAGCTGGTAGTGCTGGACCACGGCATGTACCGCCGCCTCTCCCCAGACTTCCGAATTGCCTTCAGCCGCTTGTGGCTGGCGCTGCTGCTGAACGACGTGGAGGAGGGCCGCCTGGCGCTGCGAGAGCTGGGCATCGACAAGCAGCTCAAGCTGCAGCAGCAGCAGCAGCAGCAGCAGCAGCAGCAGCCGGGGGAAGTGCTGCAGCAGCCGCCGCAGCAGCCAGAATGGCACGCCGGCGGGGACCCCTCGAAAGCTGCGTCTGCGTCTGAGGAGCAGCAGCCTGCTGCGTCGGGGTGCCCCTGGCACTTGGGGAGCAGCAAAAAGCCCAGCAACAGCAGCAGCAGCAGCAGCAGCAGCAGCAGCAGCAGCAGCGGGGAGCTGCCGTTTTGCCTGGACGAAGACACGGCGCTGGACTTGCTGTCGGTAGTGCTGACGTACCGGCCCCAAATAAACCTGCGAACCCAACTGGGGGCCCCCCTGCACTCGCGGGACCGCGCCAAAGTGCTGGGGGCCCTCCGGGGCTCCCCCGTGGAAAGCCTCAACGGCTTTCTGCAGCTGCTGCCGCGAGACCTCCTCTGGGTGCTGCGCATGAGTTACCTCATCCGCAGCATCAACTGCGACTTGGGGGGCACTACGAAGCAGCGGCTGCTGGCCATGGGCGAGGCTGCATGCAGGGGCGTGCAGCTCCGCGACAGCAGCCTCAGCAGCAAGCTCGACGACTGCCAACGCTTCGCCGCCCAGCTCCAGCAGCCCCCCAGCAGCAGCAGCAGCAGCAGCAGCAGCAGCAGCAGCAGCAGCAAGGGCAGCGCGGGCGGAGCCCCCAGGTGGTACGAGCTCCCAGGGGCAAACTCCCTCAACTTGCCCGTCGCCTCCGAATACCCGGCCTACTCCTCCTGGCGTTCGAGCTGCCCTCGGTCTCACTGCAGCAGCAGCAGCAGCAGCAGCAGCAGCAGCGAGAGCCTGCAGTCTGCTTCCTCGCCACATGCAGACACAGAACTAGCGGCAAGTGATGCTCCTGCTGCACAAACTCAGCAGCAGCAGCAGCAGCAGCAGCAGCGGATGAAGGACCCGCTAGAGGACTTGTACACTCAGATGGTTCTAATCAATGGTGCGGAACAGCCCGACCCGCTTTCTGCCTATAGAGGAGAACACGGGGAGCCCCCGGGGCCGCAGCAGCAGCAGCAGCTGCTGCTGCTGCAGGCCGTGCGGAGGCAAGCAGCAGAGTGCCGCGCTCAGTCCCCGTTGCTGCTGCACTCTCTGTGTGGGTCTCTCAAGCAGCAGAGAAGCCCCACGTGTCACTCCCTAAGCAGTGCGCAACAAGAAGACAGCAGCAGCAGCAGCAGCAGCAGCAGCAGCAATAGCTGCAGCAGCGGCAGCAGCAGCAGCAACAGCAGTGCTGCTGCCGGTGCCTCAGGCATTTCCCGGCTAGCAGCGCTTTTTAGAGGCCCGAGAGCGCCGCGCAGACCCCCGCCGGAGGCTGAAGCAGCAGCAGCAGCAGCAGCAGAAACAGCTGCTGCTGCTGCTGCTGACTGGCCCGACAGCAAAGTGTCGGCGGAGGCCCCCTGGGCCCCCCTAGGCTTTTTCGGGTCTCTGCGGCAGCTGCGGCTGCGGCTGGAACTGTTTTGGACAGTCTCCTTGCTGCGGCTGCAGCTGTGGTTTGTAGATTTGCTGCTGCAGCTGGCGGTGGGGTCGACAGTCACGCAGCAGTCGCAGCGCCGCTCCTACGGCTAGCAGCAGCAGCTGCTGCAGCTGCTGCTGCTGCTGCTGCTGCTGCTGCAGCAGCTCCGGCAACGCCGCTGCGCATGTAGCCACGCCGCACAAACGCACAGGGGCCAGGGGCCCTGCAGCCTTTTCTTCCATGTCCCGGCTGGTAGGCTGCTGCTGCTGCGGCTGCTGCTGCATGCAGCCCCATTTTGTGAAGTTGTGTTCCAGTTCAATCAAGGGAGCCCTTGCTAGTTGTTTGCAGTTAGTAGCTCACCTAACCTAGAGAGGGGAGCCGCCTGCTGGCGCGCTTCCCCACAGGCCCCCCGCTGCAGTTGTAGCAGCAGCAGCACTCGCAGCAGCAGCAGCTGCTGCTGCTGCAGCTTCTACTTCTGAAGAGTGTAGACCAGATAGGGAACCAACCGTGGCAGTAGAGGGCGTAGCAGCAACTATTATGCGTGTGCAACTTTCGCGTAGAGCAGCAGCAGCAACAGCAACAGCAGGGGCGGCAGCAGCAGCAGCGGCACGAACTGCTGCTGCTGCTGCTGCTGCTGAAGTAGAGTGGGGTGTACAGACAGCGCAGGCAAGACAAGCGCATGCGCCCTCATTAGATTCGCCAGCTCCCGTGTCACAGCTACTAGCTGCATATCTTGGAGCTTTATCTACATCTACTCATTTATTGCTACTATGATTGAAAATATATTTAATATTAAGTAATTTATTCAATATTAAATGTATGTTATTCTATTTTTATAATAGTATATGCATGCGCAGCAGCCTCTAGGGCTTGAGAGGCTGGGGCCCCTAGCTAGCCACCAGCTAGCCAGCCTAGCCTTGGCAGTGCCTTGGGCGCAGCGGGCCCCCCGCAGCTGCAAACTAGCGACGGAAGCGCCCTCTAGCTAGCTGCTGGCTAGCTGCGCCATCACGGGCTAGCTGCAGCAAATGCAGTTGGCTAGCTGCTCCGTTGCCAGCTAGCTGCGGCAGATGCAGCCAGCTGGCTGCGCCGTCGCTGGCTAGCTGCGGCGAACGCAGTTAGCTAGCTGTATTTGCCGCGACTAGCTAGCTGCGCTGTGGCTGGCTAGCTACGGCAAACGCAGCTAGCTACCTCTACTTGCCTCAGCTAGCTACCTCTATTCGCCGCAGCTAGCTAGCTGTTTTGCCGCAGCTAGCTAGCTGTGTTTGACGCAGCTAGCCAGCAACGGGGTGCCCAGCTCTTGGGCGAGGAAAACATGGCTCAAGAGTCAAGAGGCAAGAGAAAAACTCTTCGTTGGATTCTACTTGCTGCGTGGGGCCCCTTAGTGGCAGATGCAGCAAATGCAGCTAGCGAGACAGCCACGGTTGTGTCTGCTGCTGCTGCTGCTGCTGCTGCTGCTGCTGCTCCCGGTTGCAGCGCTCTCCCAAGTCTCCTTCTAAGCGCAGCAGTTGTTGCTGTTACTTTCTCTAGCTGCTTCAGGTGTCTCCTTCTTATTAATAAGAAGGAGACACCTGTGTCTCTTTTGTGAGTTAAATTTCTTTCAAGAGAAATTTAACTCACAAAGAACTCCATGCCGGCCTCGAGTGCCTCTGCAGCTAAATCTGCGTTCAGTCAAGTCCTAGCAGCCCCAGCAGCAGCAGCACCAGCAGCAGCAGCACCAGCAGCAACAGCAGCAGCAGCAGCGCCAGCAGCAGCAGCAGGTGAGGCACCTTGTGGGGCCCCACAGTCTCAAGTGCGGGGCAAATGTACGTATTAGTGAGAGCCAATTGAGTTCGCCTAGACGAGTGCGGAGAGCCGCAGAGGCGGCGCAGCAGCGAAGCGGGCAGCAGCGCAGCAGCAAAATGGCAGCAGCGCAGCAGCACAGCAGCGCAGCAGCGCAGCAGCACAGCAGCGCAGCAGCACAGCAGCGCAGCAGCGCAGCAGCACAGCAGCGCAGCAGCACAGCAGCGCAGCAGCGCAGCAGCGCAGCAGCGCAGCAGCGCAGCCTCAAAAGACAGAAAAGGCCGGCCAAGGATCTTGCTGCATGGGCAGCAGCCCGGGGCCCCCTCTCTCGGCGGCCTCATCTCGGGCATCTACAGCCATACATTCGAGGGGGCCCCCCAGCCCCAGAGAGCCAGGGGGGCCCCCAGGCCCCAGGGGGCCCCCCCTGAGGCCTCTGCTGCCGTGCAGCAGCGGGGGGGGGCCCCTCGAGGCCCACAGCGGCAGCGCAGCGCGGCCGTAAACAGCTGCAGCAGGAAGAGCTGCTTTGCTGCTGCGCTGCAGCAGCGGCAGCTGGTAAGGCGCGTCTCGCCTGGGGGGCAGCGGCCGCCGCCGGAAGGGGAAAGAAGAGGCCCCTGGGGGCCCCCAAAGGTGCCCCATCTGCATTGCTGCTGCTGCGGAGTTGTGGGGCGGGAACAGCTCTAAGTCTGCTGCTGCTGCTGCTGCTGCTGCGCCGGGCGCAAACACCCCAGACTGCAGCTCCAGCTGCTGCTGCGCCTGGCGGTGCTGCAGCAGCCGCAGCTGCTCTTCCTGCTGCTCGTGCAGCTGCAGCCGCTGCCGGTACCCCAGGCGATGCAGCGCCAGCCACCGCTGCTGCTGCTGCTGCTGCTGCTGCTGCTGCTGGGCCTTGTCCGCTAGAGAAGCGCCGCTGCTGCTCAACCCCAAGTAACCCAGGCTGCTTGCAGTGCCGTACGGCAGCTGAAGCAGCTGCTGCTGCTGCTGCCTAAGCAGCTGCTGCTGCTGCTGCTGCAGCGGAGAAAGCGAATCTTTTGCTGCAATGCTGCTGAAGCCGCCAACACCAGAGAGAGGCGCCTCTAAGGGCCCCCGCGGAGCACCAGTTCCCCTCCAACTCTTCGACAGATCCCAGCCTGAGGCGCTCTGCAGCAGCAAGCTGCTGCTGTTGCTGCTGCCGAGCAGCGAAGGCTTAATGCTTTGCTGCAGCAGGAACGGGTCTCGCGCCGCTGCTGCTGCTGCTGCTGCTGCTGCGGTTGCGTCCGTGCCGCCGTAGACGCCCGAAACTGGCGGCTGCAGCAGCTGCTGCTGTTGCTGCTGCTGCTGCAGCAGCAGCAGCTGCTGCTGATTCTGCAGGAAGCAGCCCTTGATTGATGCAGACGCTGCAGGACCCCACACAGGCAGGCATGGGGCCCCCCCTAAAGCTGTGGGCGAATAAAGACAAACAGCCACAGCAATCCACTCTGAGGGGCCCCTTAGGGGCCCCCCAGTTGCAGGGCAGGGCAGCGCCCACCGCACAGCGAGCAGCAGGGGCCTTGCACTGCTGCTGCTGCTGCTGCTGCTGCTGCTGCTGCTGTCGTTCAAGAAGGCCATGCCCGTGGCACGGCATCCGGGGATTGGGGGCCTCAGTCTGTACTTGAGGGCCGCGCTGCCTCGCCACAAATCCACCCCACCAAAAAGCTGCTGCTGCTGCTGCTGCGGCAGCGGCGGCAGCAGCTGCTGCTGCGGCACCGGAGGGAAGCTGCAGCAGAACAGCAGCACCTCAGGGCAGATGGAAGCAGCAACCGCAACAAAGCACAGGCCCCTTGACGCGTCTTCCATCACCCCAATGCACTGGAGGTCGCCGACTTCCTGCTGCTGCACCGCGCCAGCTGCTGCTGCTGCTGCTGCTGCTGCTGCTGACGCTGCTGCTGACGCTGCCGGCGTCGTCACGCGCACTGAACGGGGCAGCTGCCAAGCGATGCAGAAACCAACGAGCTGCTGCTGCTGCTGCTGCTGCAGGTACAGCTGTCTTGGGTAAGCCGCAGGCAGCAGGGGAAGCAGCAAGCGCTGAGAAACGGCAGCAAGCACTGTTCCTGCTGCTGCTAAGCAGCCGAGGCCGCTGCTGCTGCTGCTGCTGCTGCTGTCCTCCGCAGCAGAAAAGCCAATGAGGAAAATGCTGCTGCTGCCCTCCACTCCCAGCAGCAAACAGCGCAGCCCCTCGCACCGCTGCAGAGAGACCTGGCCACCCCTGTGCAGTGCTGCTGCTGCTGCTGCTGCAAGAGGCACCCGGGAAACAGCAGAAACACAAATGGGGGACCCCCCCAGCAGCAGGGAGGCCTCAGAACGGAACAGCAGCTGCTGCAGCACCAGCAAGCCTCTCCTGCTTACCACGGCCACGCAGCTGCTGCTGCTGATGCTGGGAGCAGCAGCAGCAGCAGCAACCTGGCGATGTCCCAGAAAGTGGGCCCAGCAGCCGAAAAGAGTGAAGCTGGAGAAGCAGCAGCAAGACGGTGGGGTGTATATACACTGCGGACTCAGCGGGCAAAAGACAGTGACACCAGATGGGCTGTTGCCGCAGACCAGTGGTCCGTACACACCCCAGCTGCTGCTGCTGCTGCTGCTGCTGCTGCTGCTGGGGGGCGGCAGCAAAAAGAGGTTCTCCAGTGGAGGGTCAAACCAGTCACGCCAAGCTTCGACCCACTCGCCGCCCTCAGGAACAGAACCGTCCCAGCCCTTGCTGCTGCTTCTGCTTCCGTTGCTGCTGCTGCTGCCCCAAAAGGCTGCTGCTGCTGCAGCGGCAGCAGTCGGCGGGCGCCGCTGCAGCAGCTGCAGCAGGCCGTCCGAGTACGACAGCAGCAAACGAGGTGTGGGGTTCACCTCCCCAGTTGAGTAGGAGTCCCCGTAGACGAACAGTGCGCAGCAGACGCTGCGGCTCGTGCTGCTGCTGCTGCTGCTGCTGCTGTGCTGCTGCTGCTGTGGGTCTAGCAGCAGATCCGCTAGCGAATCGGCCTCGCCGCAGCGCACAACCAAACGGTCGTGCGGCACGCTGCCGAGCAGCAGCTGCTCCTGCTGCGGCTGCTGCTGCTGCTGCCAGGTCTCAACGGAAGCTGCAGCAGCAGCAACGGGAGCAGCAGTGAGAGCAACACATCCCCCTTTGTCCACCTGGCGGCTCCTTTCGCTGCTGCATGCATCTGCAACAAGCAGCGTCGATTGCTGCGGCACCACATGCAGCCTTCGGTGCTGCTGCGGCAGCAGCAGCCCCACCTGGGGCCGCAGCTGCTGCTGCTGCTGCTGCAGCGCGCCTGCAGGTCCCAGCGCCAGCGTGAGTGCGCCTTGGCTGCAGCGCAGCTGTTGCTGCTGCTGCTGCTGCTGCTGCTGCGTTGGCCTGCGCAGCAGCATCTGCAGCGCCAGCTGCACCGCTTTGACAATTTGTCCCGGCAGCAGCAGCGACAGCAGCCGCAGGGGAGCAGCAGCAGCCAGCAGCTGCCGCAGGAGCCGCTGCAGCTGCAGCGTTGCGGGGCCCCCGAAAGAAGCTGCTCCCTGCGGCAGCAAACCTGAACCAAAAGTCTCATGCATGCACTCTGCCAAAAAGGCAGCTAAACCCTCCACGCCCAGCCCGCGGGAGGGGGCCCCCCAGGGCCCCAGAAAAGGGTATCTTTGGAGCCACGCGACGCAGCGCAGCAGCGCAGCAGACGCGAACGGCTGCTGCTGCTGCTGCTGCAGACGCCGCAGCTTGCTGCTGCTGCTCACCCCTCCCAAGCAGCACACGTAGTGGGGCGGGGGGGGCCCTGGCGACAAAAAGGCGGCGGCAGCCGCTGCAGCAGGAGATGCTGCTGCTGCAGCGCTCTGCGCACGCTGCGCACTCTCTGCTGCTGCTGCTGCTGCATCTGCTGCTTTCGTGCTGAGCGAAGGCAAAGGCAGCCCGAAGGCCCTGCTCTGCTGCGCCGTGTCTGCTGCTGCCACGGTTAAGTAGGGCAGCAGAAGCTGCCCATCCTGCTGCTGCTGCTGCTGCTCCTGGCGAAGCTGCTGCGACCAGTTCCTTAGACCCACAGGAGTGCTGCTGTTGCTGCTGCAGCTGCTCCCCAGTGATGCAGATGAGGCTGGAGCTGCTGCAGCTGCTGAAGCGTCGGCTGGTGGCAGCCTCTGTCTGCGGCGCAGCGACGCCCCACTCGACAGCGGCAGAGGCTCCTCCTGCAGCAGCTGCTGTGACTGCTGTTGCTGCTGCTGCTGCTGCTCCTCCTGCAGGGCGCACGTTGCGGCCACAGGAGGTGCCATCGCCGCTGCAGCTGCTGCAGCTGCCGCCGTTCTCTTCGATGCAGAACCGGGAGTGACTAGACACCCCAAGGGGTGGTGCTGCTGCTGCAGCTGAGCAGCAGCAGCAGCAAAACAAACACCCCAGAGAGCCTTATCGCCTTTTAATCCTCTTCACTAGGAAGCAGTAGTGCGCTGGTGCATTAATTGCCAGTGTTGCGGCTGGGACCCGCTGGAGTTGGTGTTGCTGCTCCTGCTGCTACTGCAGCAAACGAGCACAGAGAAGGCCTCTGTGGGCTCCACTGTTTCTTGTCCATACAGGAAAAACCGTTATTATAAAGCATGCTTAATGCATGCTGGTGCTGTGTTGCCGCTGCTGCAGACCCCGTAGTAGGGGCTGCAGCAGCAGCCGCTGCAGCAGCAGCAGCAGCAGCAACAGTCGGCGCTCGTGCTCCCGCTTGGGGCTCTGCGTCTCAGGGCAAACGAGGAATCTGAGAAGGGCAATGTTGACACACAGCGACGGAAAGACCCTCTTTGCGTTGATGTCTCTAGCTTCTTGAGGCTGTCGCTGCTGCTGCTGCTCCCAAGGCGGCCGCAGCAGCGGCCAGCAGCAGCGCCGCCGATCTGAACAGAAATAAATTCTTTCCGCCTTTCAGGGGGAAACACGTACACCTCGCCACTCCCAGCTGGAGTGTCGGTACACCTCAGGCGCACCTAACAGCACCAAGCAGCAGCCGAGGCAGCAGCGTTGGGAGCAGCGGGAGCAGCTGCTGCTGCTGCTGCTGACAGCAGGACTAGACCGCAGGGTGCCCCTCAGTGCTTTCTGCCAGATAGTGTTCGATAACTCGCGGCCTGCCACCAGCTGTTGCTTACGCAGCAGAGGACGCTGTTGCTGCTGCAGTTGCAGCGGCAGCAGCAGCAGGAGCAGCAACAGCTGGCAAAATGATCTATTCGGTCTACGTGTTCCACCGGAACCGCTGCATTTTCATTGCCCAGTACTCCCAGAGAGGTGCGAACGTTCCGCCAGGGAGCAGTGACCCTGATGGTCTGACAGCAGCAGCAGCAGCGCAGCAGCAGCAGCAGCAGCAACGGGGCAGCACCGGCGCCAGGGGTTCCGCGGCGCGAGGCGCAGGAGCAGCAGCAACTGCGGCTGCTCAGCAGGCCTCCGCATTCCCCCACAACGTTTCCCTGCAGCGCAGCCCTGCGGGCTCATCGCTGGCAGCAGCAGCAGCAGGTCCTTTAGCAGCAGCAGCAGCAGCAGGGGCCCCCCATATCGGCTCGAACGGCGCGCGGGGCTCCTCGTCTGACCCGCTGGTGCCTGGGGGCCCCTGGGGGCCCCTCACGAAGCGGCAGCAGCAGACGGGCCGGCTGCTGGCAGGTTTGCTGTACTCCATGCGTCGTTTCTGCGAGCAGGTGGGCCCCTCGGTGAGCAGCAGCAGCAGCAGCAGCAGCAGCAGCAACAGCAGCAGCTTCAGCTCGTTCGCAACCCCGCACTACAAACTGCACTACCTCGAGACCGCCACGGGCTACGGCTTCGCCTGTTTGTCTTCTCCGGAAGTCCCGTACATGTCGGAGGCGCTGCAGTTCATTTATTCTTCTCTTTTTCTGGAGTTGGTCATCAAAAGTCCTTCTTTTTCTCCTTCGAAGCAAATCGACAGTCCCGTCTTTGCGGAGCAGCTCCACTTGTTCCTCTCCTCCCTCCCGGCGTGGGAATCCTGAGCAGCGCCCCTGCTGCTGCTGCTGCTGCTGCTGCTGCTGCAGTGAAAATGGCGGAAGGCGCGTTTGCGACGTCGCTGTATGAGCAGCTGCCCGAGGGGCACCCAGCAGCTGCTGCTGCTGCTGCGGCAGCAGCGGCGGCAGCGCGGCAGCAGCACCTCGCTGCTGCTGCTGCTGGGGCAGCTGGCAGCACGCCAGCTGACTTGCTGCTGCGGCAGCAGCAAGTGCTGCGCAGAGCAGCGCAGCTGCAGCAAGGATCATTCTTCGAGCTTCTGGCGCAGCAAAAACTGCTCGAGGGGCTGCATGCTGCTTTGAGGCACTGCGTTGTCACTCTAGAGGCGTTCTATTCAGACAACTCCCCTGCTGCTGCTGCAGCAGCAGCACAACGACAGCCTAATGCTGCTGCAGGGAACGGGGCGGATGCGGCAGCGGAACAGCAACAGCAGCAGCAGCAGCAGCAGCAAGAGCGGCTGCAACCTCGACCTCAATTTCGTTCGCTGAAGGGGTCACTTGTTTCTGCGTGGCTGTGGTCTCGTCTGTGTCGGGTTGCTGCTGCAGCGAAATCGACCTTGGCAGCAGCAGCAGCAGCAGAGCCGGGCTCGCTGTGCGTGCTGCTGCGGGCAGATGTTGCTGCTGCGCTGCGGTGGGTTGAGCAGCACTTTGACGGGCTCTATTTGCTGCTGCTTGCTGCTGTAGAGACGCACAGCTTCGCCTCTACGGGGGCTTCTTTTGCTGAAGGCTTCTACTGCATGAGCCGAGAAGACAAACGCGTTTTCATGCTGCACAGCCGTCTGAACCACCCGCAGATACCCCGCAGCAGCAGCAACAGCAGCAGCAGCAGCAGCAGCAGCAGCAATGTTGGCGACGCAGAGAAGGAACTGGGGGGATCACTGATTGGGAAAGGAGCGCCGCCGCTGCAGCTGCCCACAGCGCTGCTGGAGGAGCAGCAGCGCATCAGCCGTGAGGCAGCAGCTATTGCTGCTGCTCTTCCTCGCTCCATGCCCCCCCTTAAAGTTGCTTGCTGCGTGGCTGTGGAAGTGCTGCTGCCGCATCTGCGGCGAAAACTGCAGCAGGCGCACCGGGTGCAGCAGGAGGCGCCGGAAGCGGCTGCTGCTGCTGCTGCTGCTGCAGCGAGCCGCATTGCGCGCACTGAAGAAGAATTAGCTGCAGCAGCGGCAGAATTCCGGAGGCAGAGAGAAGCTCCGCCCCCAGCGCCAGCTTCCCCAGAAGAATTAGTTGAGCTCCTAAGCAGCAGCAACAGGAGCAGCAGCAGCAGCAGCAGCAGCAGCACGGACAGCGTGCCTGACAGAGCTGCGCTGCGTCTGACAGCAGTAACTGCTGGCTGGGCGGAGCGGGTGCGCACGTTGCTGAGGCGTTGCAGGCTCCGCGTGCTGCTGCTGCGGCTGCGGCTGCGACTGCTGCTGCTGCTGCTGCAGAAGTGGCTGCGAGACCGCCTCTGGAGTCGGCTGGTCGCAGCTTTCCCTCGCCTCTCTCTCCTCCACGACCTCTTTTCATTTGCCTACGCGCTTCTCTACCTTGCCGACCCCGTGGCGTTTCCTTACTGGTCCCCATACATGCATTTGCTGGGGCTGGTTTACGTGCGCGCTCCCCCAGACGCAGCGCGAGCTGCTGCGGACGGCAGCAGCGGCAGCAGCAGCAGCAGCAGCTCGGGGGGCCGCGGCGGGTCGTGGTGGTTTGCTGTTGCCGAGGGGGGAGCGCGGCGCGTGAGGAACTGTCTTGCTGCAGTGCTTCTCCTGCTGCGGACCTTAGAGTGGTGGTTTGAGTATGAGGCAACTCTGCTGCCGCAGCCAATCCGCAAAGAAGAAATTAAGCCGCCTCCAGCGCCCCCGAGGCCTCTGGGTGTGAAGCCGTTGCACCCTTTGCCCCAGGTGGGTCTTCTTTCCTTCTATTACTTTTTTGCTACTGGGTAGGGGCAGTTTTCTGTTTCTTGCTGCCGGGCTGAAAAGAGAGAAATGTTTGCTGCTGGCTCTGCGAAGCCTAAAGTGAGGCTTTTTGCAGCGAGCTGGACTGTGTACATAAGCGGGCTCGTGGGGGCACTTGGTTGCTGCCTCACTGTGCTGCACTCTCCACTGTTGCTGCGCTGATGCTGTGCTACCCGAGCCTCTGCTGCTGCTCTTTGTGCAGGATCCTCGTATTTGTCCCATTTGCCACTTCCCACGGGAAGGCGCTGCATGCATCCCCAGCGGATACGTGTTCTGCTACCGCTGCATTGTGGGCTTCGTGAGGCAACACCGCCGCTGCCCAGTGACGGGGCTGCCCACAGAAGAAACCAGCATACGCCGTCTGTACGAAGCGAGGGGATGAGGGCCTGCACGTGAACGGCCATAGCCGCATGCCAGCTGATTTCCCATTTGCATGCAAGTCCACATATGCATGCATGCGCATGTATGCATTAATATGTATTCACAAGAATTGCTGTTGCCTTTTGCTGCCAAGAGGCAGAATGGGCAAGAACTGCGGTTGTCGAGGCGCTTGGTAATTTCGTCTGCTTGTGCTGCGCGCACTGCACAAGCGGACGTATGAGCAAGTGACGATCAGACAGCAGAATACAAAGAGAAGAATCGAAACAGCGCTTAGTGTGGTCTCAATTGTAGAGACGGTATGGGGAGGCCGACTTGCGCATGTTTTGTCACATGTGGCTTTACAATATTGTGCGCTAGATCAAGGGGAGCTGCGTAGCTGATTGATCATGCATTGTTTAGTACACTCTGACCTGCTTTTAAACAGGAAAGTACAAACTTCAAGCTAGATAGACAAACGAGAGTATGCATGTGTGTGCTCCAATGTTTTAATATTAGTGTAGAAATCTTTCTCCGCAACTGCAAGCGCTCTTGTGTACACGCATGCGCGCATTCATGCATATATGTTTCACTACAAAGCAAAACAGTTAGTTTCCCTCCTGCCTGTGCCTGCCTTAGAGCCCGCTATCTACTGGCGGCGGGCTTGATAGCACTGAAAGGACTCCTTTCTCTGAAACACGGCAGTAACAGTCATTTCCATACTTCAAAGGTAATGGGGAACGGAAGAGCAAAAAGCTCCGAGTCCGGGAATTGAACCCGGGTCTTCCGCGTGACAGGCGGAAATACTAGCCACTATACTAACTCGGACTGGTGGGTACCCTGGAAGTAGTGGACACATTAGTCCAGTGAATGTAAATGTAGATGGCCACAAAAGAACTCCCTCGCGCACTGCAGGTTTACCCGCGACTGCATATTGGAACACCTCCTTGGGCCGTCGGAGTACAATAAATTTCAAGTTATGGTGAAGAAGTACGAATGGCTTTGGTTCACAGCAGTGGTTCCTGCAAAAAAGCTCAAAGCTGTGTCTCCATCGAGGTCTACAAAAGAACCTAGCACGCCCTGCCGCTGTTGGTGCGAAAATTCTGCTCTTAGGCCAGGGTAAGCCTCTTGAGACTGGAGTCTGCACAAGAAAAGCGGCCGTTACCTGCAAAGGATCGGGATCCCTGCTGAAGGTATGTCCTCACTAATTGCTTCGTTCGAATTTCACGAGCGTTCCGAAGTAGCCAGATGACGCAAGTTCACAGGAGCTGTTTCGCTGGCATACAGCACAGTTGGCAAACGGATACTTCAAGGTCTTCCTACTCCACACACGTTACGCACCTCCCAGAGGTATAACTGCGTGCTGCTCAAATGAGCTGCCAGGCTTCCGACTAAAAAGGAACCATTAAGGGTGTTGTCAAGCCAGTTCGCACGACAAAAAACTATTCCCTTTTGTTCAGGTTAGAAAGTTGCTTTGCTCCCCAATTCCACGCAGGTACACACAAGCCCATTACTTCCCTTTTGTGCTGCTGGGAGGCACTGTCAAAATTTCTGGCTCCAATCAGCGGGCCACCGCGCTCACTAGCGTCACTCGGAAGGCAAATACGGCTCTAACGAACACACAACCGAAGAAGAGCGGACATCGCAGCAGAACAGGGCAGCGGCATTACGGAAGAAACTGCTATTAGCCTCAAGTGCACGACACGGAGCAGCTCTGCTCCACTGTCATTTCTCAACATCAGGGCAACTGCCTGCAGTGTAATAGCCAAGAACCTTGAGCCACTCGGCCATTTTCACTGTGTATCGAGTTTCTTCTTGTCGATCCACCAGCTCATGTGCTAGCATTTCTTCACGATTACGCTTCAGCCGGGAAAGGCCGAACCCCATTACAGCGCTTCTTACTTGTTACCTAAACTCCCTCAGCCGCCCTTTACTACGGAATGATAAAGGCTTTCACTTGTGGCCTCTTTCTAAGCCATTTGTGAGCTCTCTAGCAGACGTCGCTAGACATCAGGAGCCCGTCTGCAGTGGTGTCCAAACCACTAAAACTCGTTATCGGCTGCCGCTTAGCATACACATTCTGACCAGAAAAGGGCAATCCAAATGATGAAATAGTTCTGCACTCGGGCATTCGGCTCAGCGCCAAAATGATGACTAGTTGGGTGTCCGCACATGCAGTGTGAGGTCTCGCACAAAGTTATCAGTCACTGGATTAAGCAGGAAACTTGTGATGTGTCATTAAGGCCGCTCCACAAGTATACAAGTCCTGGCATGTTTTTAAAACTAGCCTTCCTATGCAGTCCCTCGTCTCCTCGTGCACCTATCGGAAGCTGTAGCAACTCCCCGGTTGAATGACCTCTGAATGATTCACATTCCCATAGCAATAATGAGTCTCCTCTGTGGCGGCGAAGAGGGTGACAGTAGCTAAGTACTTGCTGAGTCATTTTAGCTGGCACATGAGCTGTGCTTTTGGCGATAGAGCTTGGCCTTTGGCACAAAGCTCAATTCAGTGAACAGATTGGTGCAGTGTCTGGAAGTTACATTGTGCAGCAGCTTGATCCTCAGGATTCCAAGCGCCTCACTCCGAATTTTTTCGGAATTCTGGCAACAGACGACGGCAGTCTGTAGTTTTGCAGCATTTTGAGCGTCAACTACCCCGCATACATCGTGCTCCCCGCACGCGTAACCGAGTTCCTTTAGGCGAACACGGGGCTCCGCCACACTGCCGAAAAAGCGGGCTTAGGTTGACGTCTGGCCTGGATCATGGTTCTGTTTGTGAGCCCGACAAGTGTGAATGCAGTCTCACCCATACACTGCTGCTGTACTCACAAATGCATCATACACCTGCTGTCAAAGCTCGTAGCTGGCCGCAGTGGGAGCATGCCAAGCCTGTAAAATGGGAGAAGTACGGAAAATATTGTCGAAATAATGCGGTGTGGGGAAACAAGGTTAGTCGAGCAACACGCACACTCCCTTCGCGGGCTGTGGACGCTGGATTTCCGTAGCTTGAAGCGTAGCTTGGGCGATGCATGCATCGTGTCTTGTTGAGCTGGTAAGTTGCTGAGTATTTGTGTAACGACAGTTTTTTTGTCTCGAATTGTATTCTGATTTTATGGCCGTAAGGCTGGGGCGGTGGCGGAGTGATGCTCCCGCCAGCCGAACCTAATTCCTACACGTGAAGCCCCATCTGAGAAAACTAGCGCCACATTAGTGCTGCTTTGTGTTTCTGTTCCCTCTGGTGGCTTCGCTAAGCATTTATTCTTCGGAGTACCTCATCTGTGGGGCTGCCCACGGGGAGTCCGGTTTATTCTCTCTCTGCCCGGCGACCCAGTTATCGCAACTCCATCCACAGCCTACCCGGCCTCTACTCTCCTTTCCTCCCTTCGAGAACCGAGATCGCCTCTTGCTGCTTCTTCTCCTGTCGGGGACAGCAGCCCTCCCTGTGGTGAAGGCGCAGAATAGCAGCAGAGCGGAGTCTTGCTGCGGGGTATTGCAGTTCTCTAGAGGAGCTTCGCAAGCCAGAACTGAATTGCCACAAGCACAGCAGCACCGCTTGCGCCTGCAGCAGCGGCGACACCCGAAGCAGCCCGTGGCAGAAGTGGCGGAAGCTCCCGCAGCGGCCAAGCACAATCAGGAGAACTACATATTATCCTGCAGACCTCGAGTGTCCCGCGAAATGCGTAAGACACTCCGTGTCTGACAGAAGCTCTGGTGTGCCTAGGGCAGTGTTGCTCTGTCTTGACGGCGCAGAAGCCGTTCTGCTTGCCATGGGAAGGTCGCACAAGTAGCCAAAGTTCGTCTTGCTTATCTTTCTTATTGATAAGTAGTGAAACAATGGCAGATCTCGCGGAGGTGCAGCAGCTGGAGCTGTTGTGCCAAGCTTTTTACGGTGGTGGCGGGAAAGAAGAACAAAATGAGGCGCACAAAGTGCTGCTACCCCTCGTCAACAACCCCGAAAACATGCCCAGGCTACAGGCGGTGCTCGCTCACTCGTCGAACCTGCAGGCCTTGCTATTTGCAAGCTCGGGGCTTATGAACCTCTTCACGCGTTACTGGGGCCAAATATCAGACAAGCAAAAGGAAGAAACCCGCAACTTTCTTTTGAATTACCTGTACCAGCGCAGCGCAGATTTGCTGCACAATGCACACGAAATCCTGGGCCACCTAATTCGATTGCTTTGCCGCATAGTCAAACTTTCTTGGTTTGAAGATGTAGACAAGGCAAGTTTGCTTGGGTTTCTTTTGTACTTCGCGAGATAAGAGCTGCTTTGAAGCTTTCATCATGGGTGTGTGAGGCCCAATAGAACTGGCATTGTGTCCTCAGGTTACTCCCTGTATGCACGTCGAACCATATGTGTGCGTCTGTTATGACTTCAGAAGATCTTAGAGCAAGTCAGCTTGTTTTTGAGTGCCTCTACGGCTCACTGGGTTGTTGGGCTATACATATACACAGAGTTGACTCAGGAAATGCAGCCAAAGATTGGATCCCATATGTCTCGTCTGCGTCGCGTGGCATTCTCGTTCCGCGATATAGCTCTTCCGTCAATTCTGAAGGTGGCTGTGAAGACGCTTCAGCAGTTTGACGCTGGAGCGATTCGCGTACCTAACGAAGAAGAGGAGACGCGGTTGCTGAAACAAGTGCTGCAACTGGCCCTTAATTGCTTGTCCTTCGATTTTATGGGCACAATGGCAGACGACACCACTGATGAGCAGAACACAGTCATGATTCCGCAAGGCTGGAGCGAATTCAGGGAGGAAACCTTCCCCAGGATGTTCTTCAGTCTTTACAATGCTTGCTGGCACAAGACTCCGCACCGACCGCGGGTGGAATGTGCTCGTTTGTGTTTGTCTTGCCTCGTGCTCATATCAGCGTTCAGACGGTCTTTCTTCGAAACAACAGCCATTCGAAACAAATATATGGGCGAGTTGATCTTGGGCACTTTTCAGATAATCAAAACAAGGACGGGCCTCTCGGACGATATGTGCTACCACGAGTTCTGCCGTCTTATAGGCAAAGTCAACACTTCCCATCACCTCAGCGAACTCTGTGCTTCAGAACCCTTCAGGGAGTTTCCCCAACATCTTTTCGACTTCACAATGGAAAGCCTGAAATCCTGGCAGCGGATGCCCAACAGCAAACACTATCTCCTAGGCGTTTGGGCCCACATGATATCTCCCTTGCTTTTCTACAAGCAGAGGGTGCCCAAGGATTTGGAATTGTATATCGAGAGGATCACAGCAGCATTCATCATGAGTCGCATGTGTGTGGCGGAGGCCATAGCTGAAGATTCAGGTAAGACATCCCAGCCTGGACCACGGAACACTGGCCAACGAGTTGTTCTGTTTAGCCCTTCACGGCCAAGATGTTGAGACTTTAGCCATTAGCCCGTTAGGCACTTCGATCTGGAAAGCGGTGGTTGAATCACACAACACGCTTTCAACGGACCCTTTCTGAATCGTACTGCTCCCACATTATTAGTTTATGCTGTCATTGTTTTTTCTTTTTGTGGTCACGGACGTGCAGACAACTGTGATTGGGAAAGTCCCTTAAACAACGAAGTGTTGCGCCAGGAACAACTGGAAGTTCTGTCTCAACTTGCCCGTTGCCGCTACACCAAGACAGCCCGAATGGTTCATGATTTGTTCGAGGAGACGAAGGCTAAAGCGCAGAGCGGTGAGATGAACAGGAAGGTTTTTGAGGAGAAGATCACGTGGCTCGTATACCTCATTGGGGCACTTGTCGGCAGCAACTGGACCGGAAGGCTCCCCGACGTACACGTGGAAGGTATGGCAGAAGTTTGGAGCCGATTTGTAGAAAGCAAAGAAGATCTAGCGCTTTCCCTCAATCTGTTATCATTTGCTGGATCTATATGCTCTTTTTTGCCGTGTGAACAGATGCTTCCTCCGAGACGGTGCAAATGGCAAATGCGGGCCTGTCAAAGCTTGTCTTGACTTTGATAGAGGAGACGAAATGCGAAGGAACGCCAGAGGCGCTTGAGCTAGCGTTTCTGTATTTCTTGGATCAATTCAGAAAACTCTTTATAGGCCAGTTCGCCCGCACACTAGACAGCCCCAGCGCTTTCGCTACAGGTATGGGTCAGGTTTTAATTGAAGAATGATCATGGTGTTAAGCGCCTTGCTGCTCACTTCAGTGCATGGCTTCTTGTTCATGAGCATGCAGAGCGAGACACGTGAGCGCCTTCTGGAGGCCAACAGCAGTGTAGCTTCGTAGGTGTCATTTTTTGTTATTTTTCTAGCTGTGGGTTGCTTTAATGTTTCGTTAAGTTGCCTGCCGAGTCTGGTTGCCTTGGTCTTACTGCATTTGCAGCACTCGGTGCTGCAGACGACAAAGCGATCGTGGCGACCTTGGTGAGTAAGATCGGTTTCAATCTCCAGCACCGAGTGAATATGCCGGAATGCATAAAGAAGTCCATGGATCTCCTTTTTGAGTTCGTGGCCGGTGTTCACATCGTTCACTGGATATCCCGAGCCCCAGAACTGATCGTCACCGGTCGTTTGCTGCTGGAAACTCCAACTGGCGCCTACTTCCTAACGAATCACTGCAGCGCTGAGTTCAAGTTTCTTTCGATGCGAAGGTACATCACGTTTCCATGTCGTTTGCTCATTCGCGAATTGTGGTGTAGATGTGGTACAGATTTGTTGGTTGCGTGTGTTTTTGCTTTTTCTTGCGACATGTGAATTTCCAATATCACTTTAAGGGCTGCACGCAGGCCTCGAATCGCGAGCTTGTTCCTGCAACTGACTTAGTTTGTACCGGTTCAGTCATTGCTTTTTTCGTTTATGCGTGACTGTTTACCTTGTGAGGGTCATACTGGTTCCGCCTCTTTGCTGCTCTACACTTCAGGTATTCAAGACTGCGGACGACGTATTACTTAACGCTCGGGACACTACTGTTTTACCAACAACAGAAAACTACCGTCTCTTTCGAGCAATTCGTGCAGCCCATGGACGCCATCTTTCTGTCTTTGTGGCAACAAACTGACGAGGGGAGAAATCCAGCATCCATTCGCAACCCGCTTTGTCGCGACCCTCTGATTGGTCTTGTTCGAGATTTAAGGTACAGAACCGCAAGCACTTCTCCACGGATGGCTGCTTTGCATTCTTGAATGCTTCATATTGTGAACCAGGCTGCACTTCTACTCACTTAAAGCATCGTAATTTAACTGCCTACGTGCCGTTGGTTTGTTGTGGCACAGAGGGTTAAGTTTCGCATCTGGGCTCAGCTCCACTTACACAGTCCTTTTTGACTGGCTAATGTCCCCTTGGAAGAAGATCAACGGCACCACTCGCGTGAGCGCTGCCGTCCTGTCGTTGAATAGACTTTACCGCATTGCGCAGGCCTGCTGGATTTTGCCTTGGTGATGTAAAAACTGTTGTCTTCTTACACATTTGTAGCCCAAGCAAATAATGAAGAAGAACGGGCATTTTCAAGCGAGCGGTTATGCCGGAAGGTTTGTGTGCGCGTTCTCTGTTAGATGGCAATATTTAGCTGGGCAGCAGATGCATGGTGGGACGATGCGGAAGTTTTGGTTCCCCTTTTGAAGTTCATTGCCGACTTTGTCGACAACAGGGGAGGCAACAGAATTCACTTTGTAGAGTCGTCCGCAAATGGCATTCGGCTCTTCAAGGAGGCATCGAGTGTGGTGCTCAAATATGGCAACAGGTGGGTCAGCAGTCTTTTTGTGCTGTAGGGTCTGCATGAAGTATATAGTTCTTCTGTTTACGGTTTAGGGTTAAGGGCTTCTGTGGAGAAGGCCTTTTAAAGCAGAAAGCGCACTCACCTTCCTTTCATATGCAGGATACTGCAGAAGCAGGACTTCTCCGATCCCTACAAAGAGAAGTATAAGGGAATGGCTGTAGCGTTGCAAATACTGAGCAACATCATCAGAGGCTCATACTGCCACTATGAAGTATTTGAGGTCTACGGGGACACAGTGCTGAACGATTCCCTTCGCCTGGCTCTCCAGATGTGTCTTGCAATCCCCCAAGATGGTAAGGGACAAGAGAAGCAGCGCTGCGGAGCCGAAACTACCTTAGTTGGCAACTGCTTTTTTGCAGCGGCGTTGCCACACGTCAGAATCACTTCTGAGCCTTCTCGCGCAATATATGGACTGCAAATCGACTTCAATGGAAGTTGTGGGTTTCTTGTCGCTTTATGGCAGATTTGATGGCCTATTTGAAGTCGCTAGGAGCTGTTTACTCCTTCCTTGAAGTTGCTACGGAATCTTTCATGCAAAACGTGAGCAGTTGAAACGCTGTGCAGCTCAACGTCCCTCCATCGTTGCAGTCCGAATTTTTAAAAGCGCGCGTCTCTTGTATAATTTACATGTTTTCTGGATTTTAAAATGTGCCGATAGCGTATTTAAAATGCTTCGAAATTTTTGCGCCGGTTTTCATTGCCTGTTTTGCATCTCTGCATGTGCGCTGAGTGCCTAATTCAAATTTCCTTGCAATAAGATATATTCGAGGCATCCTTTCCTAGATCACTGCAGGGTTTTGTCCAGCATCTTGTGTCTGCGTGGTCACAGATTCTAGAACTGCCTCCGGCCCACCTAGCGCAACTGTTGCGATGCGTGGAGGATGGTCTCTGTGCTCAAGAAACAGTGCTAATGCTATCGTGCGCCACGTTAGGCAATTTTGTCGAGTTCATCTTTAAGTATCGGAACTCTGAAGAAAAGGAAGGAGAAGTAGGGTTCCTAGATTCCCTCTGTTCTTATGCTGCGCGTATTTCCAAAATCCGAAGCACCACCGTAGTTGAGTAGTTTCATGGGGCGGGCGTATGCTGATTCGATTTTGTGGATCCAAATAACAAAAACAGATATTACTACATATTGCATGCGTTGAACAGGCTGTTCGCGCGTTCCTTGAGGCTCAGCCTGGAAGTTTGCCGCGAATGCTGCAGCTGATATTCCAGCTCCTCATGACAGGTATGTAGTATAAATTCATGGCTCTGATCTGCCAATCCTCCAGACATTATTTTATGTAAAAGTCAGCTTAATGTTTGTGCCGTTCCTAGATATCCAAAGGGCTTGAAGCTGTGTTCGGTCGTAAGCTCGAGAAGTGAAAACTATGTGATGCGCAAGCTTTCAACTGATGCGTAACTATCAGGGTCACTTTTTCTTGCTTTGGCAATACTTGTGGTCGCATGCGAGCCCAGAAGGCGTGTAGAATTCACCTGCTTGTTCCATAGTGCATTATTCTTTGAATGCTCAGTAGCTGTTTCCCTGGTCTCTGCGTGTCTGTTAGAATATACAGTATAACCTTGCCAGCCAGCAGTTGCTGCTAACTTTGAAAAGTCACATGCGGGTGTCCGCTGCAATGCAGGCCAACTCCCAAATTTGTTCTCAATATCGGGTGTTTTGCTGGGACTGATTTTGCTGCAAGAAAACGAATACTTGAAGCTAAAGCAGCAAATCATTGAGCAACAGATTGAATGCAAGAGACCACAGTACGTTGAATTCTAAACCTGTTGGCTTTAGTCCCTGGTGTAGTAGTACCAATAACACCAGTTCGATTGAATTGGGCTGACCTCAAGTGCTGCATTTTTGGCTTCTTCAGGGTGGAAGGGTTCTTTACAGCTTTGATGCTGAACATTGAGGAAGACCTTGAAACAGCAAATAAAGTGGGTATCTGTTAGCTTGGATAACACCCTTTCGTAGCTTCAGATATAGAAATTGCTGCCTTCCCTCCAGCCTCGTATGTAGCCTCCAGATGATCCTGTGAATCCGTTTGCCTGTTTCGCTCAGGATAAGTTTATGAGGAACCTGTACCACTTCGCTCATGACATTCGAAAGGTGTTCTCTTTTAGTTTCTGATAGGGGCATTTGCACGATCGGCACCTGCAGGGCGTGTGAAGCGTGCCTGAATTCGTTTACGGTGTCTCGCTGCGTCTCTTTCGGCCTGGAGTGCGGCCGTTGGAAATGATTGCGCCCTTAACGCAGCACAGCAGGGCTTCCTTGCCGCGATCTCTGCTGCAGTCGCGTTACCGTGTGCACTGCTTTCTCTCCTCAGTCCACACGCGTGCACCTAATCAACTCCTCGTTATTGCTGGAGTGGCAGGTAGAGCGGAAACTGGACTTGCAGGGATAGGAGCCCCCTAGCTGGCTCATCCGCAGCAGTTGCTGCGGTTTAACAGCAACCGCTTTTCAGGCTTTGACTGCGGAGGAACAACAAAGATATCCTTTTAAGTTCTTTTTCGTTAGCTTGTAGAGCCCATGAGTACGGCAAGAGCGGGTTAAGAAATGTAGTTCTAGGCTTCCCGCATTATGCCCTTGCTCATGCCCTTGCCGAGTGCTGTGGTCAAGGTGCTAGCCATTCTGTGTTCCTTACTAAAATTTGCCTGTTCTTTTTAAATGTATCCAGATGGTGCAAGTTTCACGCATTGGTTTCTTCGCAGTGCCAACGAAAAATTTCAGCAGCAGCAGCAATTCCGTGTTTCAATGCTTTGCAATTGTCAACCACAAGGTGCAGCTTCACTGAGAACAGTGAGCAGAGCAGATGGAACTCTACGATTTTTTGTATCGATAGCACGCATTTAGCTGAGCAATTGCTTTTGGAGCAAATAGCTCCGGGTGGGTTGCTTAAAGCAAGGCATTCTTTGCACTCTGTGTACTCATGATTAGCAATTAGAGGCCCAGGGATTTAAATAATTAGGAGCTACAGTGTGGAAATGCATCAAGGCTCCAAATTGTTTTGATCTTGGGGGACAAAGTTTCCCCATGCCTGCTTCAAGCTGTAAGAGGGACGATGAGTGCTTTTTCCGCTTGTAATGAATAAGCCTTGTGCCTATTGTACCGTGCACACCCTACTGCGCACTTGAGCATTAGTGAAATTACAAGCTTTTCTTGAACTCCCACTTGGTGGGAGGCCGCATTAGAGCGCTTGAGGGATTATTTTTTTCCTCAAGTAGGATGGATCTTCCTTGCTCATTAGGAAGAGTACCTTTTTCGATTATTGGGAATTCGAGCCCGCCAGGGCTAGACGCTACGAAGCTGTCAAGTAGCTGTGAGTAGCGAGTGGTAGTGAGTTCGAGCTCATGAGGAACAAAGGGAGAAAAGCTACAGCAATTGAACTGCTGCAAACCAGTGGACTGTCGCATCTTCTTCAACGTGTCCTAGCCGATAAGGCCAAATACAGTCAGCAGTTCAGAGGCTGTAGTGTTTGCCACCTGCGCAATCGTGATAAGCTCCAACCCGCTTAACACGTACAAAGCCAGGAGCCTCTATTTGTGTCTTTTGTCCAGCAGTGGTACCAACAGGCAGCGTCGATTTCAAGAAAATAATGAGGGTGAAGGAATCTGCACGACTTCGCCTGGGCAGCACTGCCCCAATTGAAGGTCATGCGAAGCAAAATTAAATCCCGGGGCCATTGTACTGCAAATTTGGGCTGGGATAATTAGGAACGAGAGATCTTTTTTTGCTTAAGATTGTATCCACTGGTAACTGCGCAGCAGGGTTGTAGGTGAAAACTCTTTTGAGCACCACTGGCCCCAGCAGTTGAGCGAATCCTCGTTCTTATAGAGGTACAGTAGTAGGAAATATATTTAATAGCAGGTTTTCCTCGTAAGGCAGTAAATTTCACTTTGGTTGTACTGCTCGTGAAGCCGATCACGGGGCTCCCAATTGCAGCCCTACAGCGTAGCGGAATCACAACTAACGCCGTGAAAAAGTGTTAAAAGGTAACTGTTTGTATTATGAAAATGCAGAGAGCAGCTCAATGCTGCATCACAGAGACCTACGCGGTCTAGCCGTTGGTAACATTTCCGAGCCAATATCGTCGATCACTAGAGTAGGGTCACTCTGCCCCACCGCCTTTGAAGCTCTTTCATACATTCCAGTCACACCGCTGCAGGCAACATGCAATGGGAGGGTACTTTCAATACTGGAAAAGGGCTGGAGCTTTAATTTTTTATTCTTTCGCAATAGTGCTCCATTTGTGGGCGAGCTGAACAGTCTTGGCAGAGAGGATAGGAAGTGGTTTTCCTGTTACATGCAGGAATACGTGATCACCGACTCCTACGCGTCTCAGCTGATGTCTACTGTCTAATGTCTATGTGGCTTAGTATTTATTTGAGTGGCTTTATCTTGCACTGAAGCCTCCCAAGCTGCCCTAATCATGAGGAGCCGACCTGAAATTAGCCGGTTACTGGAATCACTAGAGTTTGGGTGAGTCCTTTCTTACTAGCAAGCTGAAAGCTATGGGCATGGTGCAGCATCTACGTCCCACTGCATGTAGAACTTTTGTTTTTCACTGGGTGCGTCACGATCTGTTTGCCAATATCCAGCACCCATTGACAGCCAATCTGTAGCCTCGCTTCATTATAACTTATCCGTACGACTTGGTCTGACGGGCTATACTCAGTAGCGTTGTCCTATTGAGCAACTCACACACACCAGAGTTAATTATAGACCATTGGCGCGCATGTGTTTTTTTGTGCTCGTTTTTGCAATCCAGTCGTAATGAGCAACAAGAACTTGAAACTTCTGAAACGGATTCCCAAGAGAAATGCGGCTGGAACAGCTCTCCTATGCGGCCATATAGGCCTGTCGGTGGCCCGGTAATATCTTTGGTGGATAATCTTTCCCCAGTAGGCATGAGAAGCGATGACATGCAAGCTGAATTTCGCACCACTCCGCTTTAAGAGCCATAGTTGGCCTACAGCTGTAGAGCCGGCAAAGGCCAGATAATGTCAGAATGATCGATACGTTTGCCGATATGAGAAATAATGCAAGTAAGCTTTACTATTACACAGAAAAGGTGGAGAATGTGAGGGAACTCTGCAGGATGGAGAGCCCAAAGCGGCGGAGCCAGAGTTACCAAGCTCAAGCAGTTTGGAAAATGTTAATGCAACTGTCTCTAGGTTGACAGCTGCTAGCTCTCTGGGTCTTTTTGACGCCCAAACACCCCGTACATCCGCAGCTGTTAGGGGCCGATGGACGCCCGAGTACGCAGTTATCAAAATGGCACTTATGCGGCAAAGTGCAGCCAAACCCAAGGTTTGTTCCTCCATTAAATCAGTAAAGTTGATGTTATCAAGAGATGCGTTTCAGGCAGCAACGCAAGCATGTGCCGCCACTCTTCCAGAACTTTCTAAAGTACATTTAAACACCACCTAAAGGATGCAAATAAACTCTTGTAGGTCTCAGCTGTGCGAAACTATTCAGGCCCGCGGGGGGCCGTCAACGTATCAGTACACAGATGATAAAAAAGGGCCAAAACAACAAAACCGGCTGGCAGCTACGGCGAGAGCTGCGTGTGACGCGTTCAGCAAGGCATCCCAACTCTCCACCCCTGTCTCTGCCTACCCAACCAGAAAGGCTAAGCCGCAGCTCTGGGGTCCCTCTGTCGTTGCCAGCACGGAAGAAGCTGTGGCAAAATCTTCAGCTGCGTTTGCAGCGTCAAGAGACTTTATAGCGTTAGTAGATTCCCTGCACAATAGTTCTAAGTTCAACTGCAGCTGCTACTTCAGTGGCTTGCAGCTTCACCCATATAAACTTCATCGCACTTCTAGTCAGCAAAGTGTAATACTAAAAGCACCGGCAGAAGAAGCAGGCCAAGTAAGGCAAAGCGCTTATTAGTATTCTATCAAAGGAAGCAGATTTGTCCTGTCATGCAGGTCACGAAAGCGTTCAAATGCACTTCCCAGGTCGCGACTGCTTGTTTCACCCACAGCCCCGGTTAAAGCATCTACCTCCCTCAAAAGTTCACAGATCACTGTGGGACAATGCACTGAAACTTTTGAAAGAAAGGAGGCCACGTCTTCAACAGACCAGCAGTGCGCTATTCTGGCTAGAAAGGGTGCTGCGAGCACGCCAAATTGTGGCAACGGTTGCATATGCAGCCAAAAGTTCTCAAATTTAGCAAGCGGTCCCCCGAGTGTTTTTATCACTGTCCCATCGACTCCTGTTGCGGTGCTTGAGGCTAATTCCTGCACCCGCCTCACGCCTGACCAGCGTCAGTCTCGCGGTTTCCCTTGTCCACCTGGCACAGCAGGGAGCCACGTAGATAGCGTTTCCTTCTCAGAAAACGCAGCAAAAAACAGCTTGCTTTCCATTGAGCCGGACAAGGCAACGTCTATAGCCTTGAATTCACCTCTGGAAAGAAAACAGAATGCTCAGATCTCTGAAAACACCTTTTTGACAAGGAGCCCCGCGTCTCCTATTCCTCAGAAGACCCGGTCGCCTGCCTTAACATGCCTCAGTGGGCGATCTTTTTCCGCTAAGGATATAGCCACAGCTCAAGGCCTTTTTCATCGGATAATTGCACAGAGAGGACAACGCAGGTGTTGTTCATGCAGTAGTGACAAGAAATTCTCTGTACGCCACCAAGCTAAATGCCTCAGTGGAGCGCGCGCGAGCCGCGCAGCCTCGGCAGAATGCGGCTCCTCTGCAATCCCCGGAACCTTCTCTACTAGGATAAAACACGGCAAACCATCATTCACAGAGTGTCAAAGCTGCGGCCGACGAATTTCGAGAGTTGGCCACGGATTTGTTCAGCAGGTCCCGGTTAAAGTGGTCTGCACAGGATGTCAGAGAGATAAGACTGAAGGGTCGTGAGTGGGCAGATGCCGTACCTTTTGAATGCAGTGGGCATGCGCTGTTGCCAGTTCTTCGGTTTCCAGCATCGTGACTGCGGGCTAGCCAAGTCTCAATGAAGCAGCTGAGCAAGCGAACACCCACATATGCTGACGCAAATGTTGCGGTGCTTTGTATTCATGCTCGCCTTCCAGTCTGCCCACTTAGTGCTACAAGTCAACGTTCCGTGTTTGTCCTTCTATGGAAGAGATGGGCCGAAAGCTGTACACACCGTACACTTTGCGGAAGAATGTGTGTGCCGTCAGATATTCTCCGCCGCAAACATGTTCCAGCTGTACGGGGGCAAACCACTCTTCTGGCTCCAATGACTCAACTATCCCTTCTTCAGCGTCACACCAGAAGCCTTTAACGGTCCCTAAAGTTAAGCCAAGCGTTAAGCAAGTGCTACGCACTGACATTCCCAGGCAAGCTATAGCGGTCCTCAAGTGCTTTCACGTAGCAAACTTGCTTCAACATAAGTCAAAAGCTATATGAAACCCTTTAATCAACCTTGGTGTTTTGATTCAGGCTGAAGCTTGCTGAACTCACTAACAGAACAGCATCTTCTTGCGTGAGCAGTACCAGACGATTGCCAACCTTACAGGAGTTTATTGAGGAGCGGCGGCACCTCAGAGAGGTTGCCACTGAAACTGCAGGAGGCAAGCAGCTACTGACGGGACGGGGTAGTATAGCTCATGAACCTACCAAACGCCGCTGTTGTCACTGTACCTGAAGAAATCAAGAGCTGCAGTGGAGTTGACATAGAGCGCTATATAAGAGATGATGAAAGGCCAAAAGAGCAGCCTACAAATAGTCCCACGCCATAAACAGCTGCCGTCTTTGTTGCTTTTGCTTTGGCAGCCAGTGCCGGCTCGAATCCTGGTTCTCAGAGCATGGAGAATCCCGAGGGTCAGGAAACGAGTGGCAATATTGTGAACACTCCTACTACACCTCAGCAAGCTTCTGCAAAACTGGAGGCACTGCTCATTGAAGCAGACGAAGCATTTTGGACCTCGAGAAAGCTGCCGCATATGGCTGGCTGGTCTTTCAATAAAGCAGCCAGGCCGGTGTCCAGTGGGAGAAGCCGCAGGTCCACAGTAAGCAGGCGGTCCTGGACAAATGAACGAACGGCAGGCCTCCAGCAAGCAACTGGCAGAGGTACTCTTACGCCAGAATTCCTCCAGGCGCAGCTTCAGCAGATGGCTGCCAGGAATGCTGCCCAAAGAGTCTCCGTTTCAGCGGATGATGCGAGCCAACTAGTTGCCACTGAGCAGGCTAGGAAACGACGTAAGACTTAACTTGTGGGGCAGTATATTTTTCGACAGCCCTTGTTGGAGCATAGTTGTTTTGGCGTGCTTTCCGTCATCACCCAGGGTCTCTTGGGTCTCTGCCTACGTTACGTTGAGCAGCCCATATGCGAGTTCCGGTGCACTCGTCTACGAATATGTGAGTTGCATGTTGCCCTTACGCGTAATTTTTGAAGGTCAGGCGAATCACTCGCTCCAGCGGTCTGCTTGGGGAAAGCCTCAAGTTTTAGGCACAGCCCGGGCCGCGAATGAGACAGAAAAGGCAATGAAGCGAATTAGGGTAAAAATGCTTCTGCTGTTTGACTAACTATACATCTGCCGCATTCACTCTACTGCAAATTGTAAAACGTAACGGGTGGGGAGGGCAACGCTGTTTCGTTACTGAAGCACCTGAAAATAAGTGAAATGGGGTCTTGCAGGAATGCCTCAGGGCTCGCAGCGAAGTGAAGGAAAAGGCAAAACGTAACCTCAGTGATTTATTGGACACCAGGGTAGGCGATATTGTAGCAGGACTCCAGATTCAAGCCATAACTACGCAGTTGCCGCTTGATCGTAATGAGCATGGTCGGTTGCCCAGAGCCTTGTCGCCTGAGCCGAATCGAACGATAGGGCAAATGTTTTTTGTTCCCCTTCTGCAGACACTGCGTAGCTTTTTTGACCCGGGCACGAGACTCCGCCTAGTGCAGCATATAAGAAGAAGTTGGACGCATCAAGAGATGTTTGTGATCGATGCACTGAGGGTGATATATCCACGTGGCATGACGTATTTGCTGAAAGCGCAAGGAACAAGAGTGGCGCCTCTTCCCCTATTCTTTCATTGAATTAGTTATTTTAATTACATGGCATGTCCGCAGCTGGGTAGACCAAATGCACAATTAATGAAGAAAGTTGCAGCTTCTCTGCCTCCTGACGTATTCGACCCGCATAACACGTATTTCTGATGCAGGGAGCAGAATCCTGCAGAAAGGCGGATATGGCTGACTTTATAGAAGCGTGGTACTCAGATCTGATGGCTACCGTCGCTGCGGGACTTGGTCTTGTCGCAGAGGGGTCCAGCGGGGCTGAAAACAAACTGCAGGCGAATCCAGTGCAAACGCTTCTAGAGACAATGCGGAGGGACTTACAGTATGGTCTGCGCTACCAGGAGCTAATAGATTACGTTTGTAACCTCAGCGAAAACGAAGTGGAAACGCTCATGTCTCAGGTGAGGTACTGGAAAGTTGGTGTTGACAGAAACATTTCGTGTCAATGCACCACACGACAACTTTCAGATGTGCTCGCAAGGACGTGTCACTGTAGAGCCTCCCACAGCTTCTTGGCGTTCGTACTTTCAAATATTCAGGTGCTCATCAAGAGCAGTCTAGTGTTCGAAGACCCCCTCGAGGAGCTGCATACACTTTTGCGCTGCTTGAAAAACAAGTTCGGTCGAGTGCCGCCTGCGCTTCAAACCCAACTTGTGCGGGCGCTGTTGGCTCGTCCCGAGAAAGGACGTGAACTGTCAGCCACAGTTAGTATGCCCCGAGGGCAGTTAACTGACAGCTCATTATGAATCCAGGTCTATCGTCCAAAGGCAGAGCCGCTCTAGTAGAGTTGCTTTTAATGGATGTGCCTTCCAGAAGCAGCTTGTGTAAATATTTTAGAAAGCTCTCGTTTGTACGGGGTACTGTCTTTGGAAAATAAAACCATGTTAGTTGATGTCCAAGTTGCTGCATTCATCTTGGCTTAATGCACGCAAGGTGAGCAACAACCTCGCCACTGAATGATTTTGCGTGGATTTACAACAACAAAGTTTTGCAGACTTCTGCAAAGTGAGGCATCCGAGGATTTGAGATAGTGAGCAGGAACCAGCGTTTCGTTGGTAAACTCTGGTTGGAATGGTGTTTTTTCTAGGCGGTTGAATCAATTTCATACTTTGAGAATTGTCACCACCATATGAGCCACCTACATGAAGTGGAACTACGTTCAGGATGAGATGCATGCTTCGTGCTGTTTACGGATAGGGCGCACTCTTCAGTAAACACTGTGAGGAGCAACTTCCAATTATTCCGTTAGCCTTTAGTAATAATTCAGTCCGTCCTACGTTGGGCGCGCAAATGACAATTTGTAGAGTGAAATGGGGAGTCGAAGGCTCGTATACTTGCCGTCAACTGCACGCAAGCGTCTACATGTGGAGCCACAAAGTGCATAACCCCTGGGCATTTTTGGCAATGAATCCACTGTTTGGTACACTAAGGGCAACGGTTCAAGCACAGAAAAAATAAAGCAGATATGCAGAAGAAGAGAGCAGGGATGAAGTTGTGACGGAAGGCTGTCTAGTTAAGCATAGGCTGCCTTTGTCGGGTCATGGTATATTAGCAGCTTCGCTACCACCTGTTGCTTACAATTGTTGCAATTTTTGCTTTTACAGCATTGCCTTGATTTAAAATCTTGCTAAATGCGCAAGTGTTCAAATTAGGATCGCTCCTGGGACGGCTCTAGAGCAATTAAGAAACGGTACGTATAAACGGTAGACTATCGCAGCAGGTTTCACCTCTTGGAGTCAAGCATTTACATATCCGCAGCAGTACTTTGGGGAGTTTTGTGACTTCGAGTCTGCTATCCGAATCCACCAATCGGGTGTGTCTTTTAAACTTTCAAGTAAATAATCTCGTCACTCTTGGCGAACAGCATAGCATTGTTAACGTCAGCGAGGCAGTTGACGGGAACTGCTCAATTGAGACAGCCTGCTACTTCGCTTCCATAGATTTACATATAGGCGCACGTACGCATTTGTGGCAAGCGTACAAGCCTTCCATTCCACATTGCATGCCCAATGTAGGACTGTCTGAAGACATCTAGAATGAATAAGAATAACTGAAGTCCAGATGCTGGCTGGTGCGTTGTGGCAGCAGCACTTGAACGCTTTTACACCAGCATCATGTGCTTGAATTATACCTTCGATGGCTCTCTGTCGCCACACGCTCATTCAAAATTCTCGACTCTAGGCTGAGTAGCACAGATGTCGGCGCATAGTTCACTTGCGGAAAAATTCCTGTCGCGTCTTGTGGGATTTGATCTTACTTGCTGCATTTGACCGTCTTCCGCACTGCTACGATGTACTTAATAGGCGTGTAGCAGAGCTCAATGCTTTGCATTCATGTTGCTAGGCGGAAAGCCAATCATTGCAAATGGGGCTGCGCAGCAGCTGCTGAGGAGTGGAGCAGAAATCTTGATTTTATCTTGAAAGAATTACTAAGCTGTTATGCCCCTGAAGTGACCTTTTGTTCTTGCCGAGGGATCGTGTGGACATGAACCACTGAGACAGTGTGGAAGACTGAAACGTTCGACTAGGCTAAAATACTATGGGCAAAGTGGCAACTTCCCTAGTTTCTGAAGTCAAAAGTTAGAGACGGGCCCGCGAGGGAATCACAAACAAGCTTGGCGGCTAAGTAGCGGCCTGCAGGATGCAGTGGCTCCCTCAGCACTCTTTTGAACCTTGCCACTAGCTTCTTTTGCTCATTCTATTGCGAATACTCGAAAATTAGTCAATTGAGAGAGCACAAGGGATACGAGGAAAACAGTATATTTTCTCCTATTGCTTTTCACGCAATGGACTCTTGCATTTAAAGGCAGAGAGCATTATCCCCCTATGCCGAGCCGACCCGAGGAAGTTTCTTTACTGCCATGTAAATGCGCTCGTGTTCATCTTGGGTGCCCATGTACGACTCTTTTTGAGTGCACTGTGTAACAAGACTGCTATTGAGCTTGCAAAGTGTTTTTTGCCGCGATGAAAAAATGCGAAACAGCCGAACTACAAGAACGATTACCAGCGGCAGAGGTAAATGTAAGAACCTTTCTTTGACGTAAATATTGCTGCGCAGCAGTAGCTTAATGTTCTTTCTATGCATGCATAGGCCTGCCACGCACCGTTGTTGACGTGTGGCCGCTGTCCTAGTAAATAAGGCCATACCACCATTACCATCATATCTACCACAAGGTATACTAACGGAACTTGATATACGCATAGACAGAGATCTCGCTGTTCATTATGTGCAGCGGTTCTACCCAACAGGACACCAGAGCCTCATTTCAGTTACTCCATAATATATATTGCTAACTGACGTTCTAACTAAACCAAAAAATTCGGAGAGAAAAGCTTCGAGTGGCTCGTAAGTCTCACGGGTGATCTGCTCGCAGGAGCTGGCCGCTGTGCAACACATCTCGAGCTCACCAGAGGCAGTGAGTAGGTGGAGGTGTCGGATTTACCCAGAGTGAGCATTGTTCCCACCCTTGCCATGCTGAAAATTCCAATTTTTGCAGTGTACTTCGCATTTTTAACAAATGGAGTGCGTGTTTTAGTCTGCATTTTCTCGCTTTTTAGCCAAAAGCGTCAAGGAGGCGATCTGTGCTGCCGAACCCAAAAGCCACCAGCCCCCAAGACCCACCTCCTGGAGCTCCGGGTGGTAGTGTGGGCCCTTTGCAAATTTTAGTGCTGCACATGAAATTTTGTTTATCGATGAAATGACCTTGTAGGCTTCATGTTGAGGTTCTTTGGCTTGAGTACGCGTCAGCTCAGCACCCTTTTTCAATCTGGCCCCTACCAGGCGGCAGGCAGCCGTCATAACCTTTTACTCAACCTTGGCCAGCAGAGCCCACGAGTACGCGGCGTCGTTGTACCGTTGTGGTGGCCGCATGGTCCAAGCGCCTGTGGCTCCTGAACCCAGTGGCAGGCGTCGCTGCTGGCCCGGCCGCCAGTTTGTAGGGTGTTATCCTGACCATCCAGGGTCTTCATGCGACTTGGATTTTCGAAAACAGCGAGACGTTCCCGGAAAGAAGGGGGCCGAAAACTCCATGTATATCATGATGTGAGAGCGGACTAGAGCCTAGCACTGGCTTTTTCATTTCTGCCGCCCGCATGGGCGATCCCCCGTGACCTGGATGGCTGCTAGCGTCCTAGGCACTCAGCCGAGCTTCCAGTCGCGTCTCTAAATCTGCTGCTGCCTGCCTTGCCGCATTCGTGTACCCTGCAGTCTTTAGACCTCTCAACAGAAGAGGCTGCAGGGACACTACATCACAAGCGGCGAGGAGAGGACAACAATGTGTCCTGGGCGGGAAGCTTCGTTAGAAAGAGGAGCTCTCTGCGAAATCCGTAGGGAATTTCGTTCTCTGCCTTCCGTTTCCGAGAGCACAGAGGCAGACGAAAACTGTCCTGATCACCAGAGCCAGTCTATGGCGCTTACCTTGAAAGGCACACAGCCACAGCCATGCACCGGAGCCAGTCCAACGGATACAGGCTTCGCAAGCCGAAAATTTCTTGGTGGAGGCTGGACCTTGTATACGAATGATGGAAGCACAAGTCAGAGCAACTGCGGGAGCAACGGAGTTGACGTTGTATCTGAAACCTTGCCTTTGCCGCCGAGCAATTTGACCAGCGCCAACAAAGAGGGGCGCTGCTCTACCAACCGCAAGCGCAGCCCAGCTACAGCAGGTCTTGTTCTTAATACGTCTTCAAAGTCCTCTACTCCGGTGCTACTTTCCGATGAGGATGAGAGCGACGATGGAGTCGCCGTTTATATTGATGAGGGAGAATACGACCACACCAGTGATGGTCCTCTTATCACCGAGTATCGTGTATGCTCTCGAAAATCTAAGGAGATCCGCATGTTCAAATCTAAGTGGATAGCGCAGATGCTTGCGAAGAAAGACCAGCTCCTGAGACTTTCCCCTGCAAAAAAGTCGGCACGGAAATCCGCAAGCAACACTGAGACAAGCGGGCACGCATCTGAGGTCGTGTCCCAGTCAGGCAGCGGCATTGAGTTTTTGGAGAGTAAGCTGAAGGCGTTCGCCGCTTGCATGGTTCCAGAGACGCTGGAGTGCATCAACCGCTACAGAACACGGTGGGCACAAGCCCCAAGCGACAATTCAGACTCTGACACGGCACAGAGCACGAGCAGTGCTTCACGAGGGGATAGACGTCGACGTCGAGCGAAGAACCCAACATTCTTAACTTCAGTAGGAAGGAAGCATCCTTGTTCAGCGAATTTGCAGCACCCTCCTGGTGCACTGCGACGAGGACAGATTTCACATCCCAAGGATTGCCAGCTAAGTCTCGGATTGTCAGCGAGTGCTGCACTGCAATCGTGGGGTCGTTTTCTTAAGTATATCAGGGAGACATGCAAATGCTTGCCACCACGACCAAGGGTTGAATTAAAAGCTGGTCTCCAGAGCGACGATGACGATGAGCAGGCTCCGCTTTATATGTGCCGTCCGGGATCTGTTCAGCGGCCCTCGCCGCTCATCAGCTACAGCCTATCAGAGCACCTCAGGGCCGCTCGCACAATGTTTTTCAAGCAGTTCAATAGGCGATGCCTAGTTGCGTCCTACGGGCACTCTTCAGGGAGTGCTGTAGCAGAGCAGCCGCCGGCGGGTGAATCGCCTGGTGTCGGCGCCGCATCAGCTTCCGTAGCTGCGCAAGCGCCTCCAGGAAGCGATTCTGGGGTTTGTACGAAAGTATGCCAAGAAGAAGGCGCCGTTGGCTCAACAGCATCAGAGACCACAGATGCAGTCCCTTTGTATGACATCACTGCCGAGACATCCAGGAAGTTCGGCGACATGATGCGTCTCGAGGACACTGCACGCATGCTCAACGCCTCGTGTACATTCCGCCTGGCAGCAGCTCCCGCTTCTGTTGTTCGCCTAAGAAAATGGAGGCCGAAGACGGCTGCTGCCACGAGGTCCTGTATCAGTGCTCCTGGCTGCCCTATGGGTAATGTGCACTCCCCTTCGGACACGGCTGTGCCAGCCGCCTCCGCAGCACCGACTAAGCAAAAACGGAGTGGATATGTGACTGAGCACACCAACCCGCATGCGTCAACAGCTGATGCGTCAAGTCAGAGCGTTGAGGACCGTCGCACCGGTAAGCGCTCGCGAAGATATTCAGTTCAGGGAGTGTCCAACTCGTCGAGTTCATGTGCGGGTCAGCTTCAGCGGCAGATGAGCTTGTCGGAAGCTGAAGCCAAACAGGGAAGCAAGTCAGACGTCGTTTATACAGTCCATGCAGATGAAGACACCCTCGCGCTTAGTGGCTTGGACGCAGAGTACTGTGCGCGCGTAGAGTTCGCGTCTCGAGAGCCAAATCGGGCTGCGTCTTTCGTGACACACATAGACCCATTGCAGCTAAACGGCAGCACCTTGCAAGAAACTCCGACAGCCTCTGCCGGGCCTCAAAAAAGGAGGCGCAAGGAGAATGTGTTGTTGAGCGATGATGAGGGCTCGTCTGTAGAGTGCACGCCTGTGTTTGAGGCATCACGGGGCGCAGCGTGTTCTGCAGAGGCGGCAGAAGAGCTAGGCCACCAGCGCTCACTAATGGCCGACAAGCTCATGCTAGCCCACCTCATGCCCTACCTTCCGCAGTGTGGTCCGTAATAGGAGTGCAGACTCAGCGGTCCGAAAGCGTGCTTGGACGAGCTGCACTAAACTGAATCGGCGTCTCCTGTAGAGGATGAGCAACTGGAAGCACAGTTCGTCTGGTTGTAGCGAACTAATCTTGCTCAGGGCGATCACGCGATACTCAAGGAAGCTCCGAGTGAACTCTGCAGGTGTACGGTATGATATGAAGTCCTGCTGTAATTACTTGTGTCAGATTTCGTGGAGGCATTTTCGCTCGAAATAGGTCAGTAGCAAGTAGCTCTCTGAACACCGAAACATAAGGCTTGCTTACGGGTTAGTAGCATTGAGCTGTACGAAAGACGGCAAGCACAGCCGGCAAATTATTTCCCCAGCAGAGGACGCTTACCTGCCTCGCAAGCATCTTCAGACCACGGAAACGATAGGCGATCTGGCGAACGGCTGTCCTAGGTTGCCTGCGTTGCTCTAGGTTGACGCTTTCACGTACTGCGCGTCTTCAGCGGGCGATTCATACGTGCAGTGGGTGACTTGTAGAAGAGAGGCACTCAGCGGAGTAGTGCGTCGTCCAGCACAGTTGACACGGCACTGTAGCCTCCAGAAGGCGGTTACCATGGATTTACCTGTGTCCTCTGACGCGCTTGCTTTCGCGCTGCAGATGGAGCAGCAGATGTGGTGATGACCGTGCCGCTGCTGTTAAGACGTACCCGGCCAACGTTACAACGGCTGCCCTGGGCCGGAGGTGTAGTCGTACGTACTGCAGTTTAGTTCCTCTTTTTCAAGGAAAATTGCAAAGGTGAACTCCCTTCACTTTGGTCTTTGCGCTAATTTTCCGTTCTTGATCCAGCAGGATTCGGCATTAAAACACTAATTAACGGTGCTTTCATTACTACACTGAGATGACGCCTGAAACTTCAACTGAGGACAAGTTTCTCTTCTTTATGATAAAGCTCGTCTGCAGCAACTGCGCCTAGCGACAGAAAACGTACGTGTGATGGAACCTAGAATTCCATGCAAACAGAATACCCAACTTTTTAGCTATAATTTTTTCGGGTTTCGCAGAACCTATGTGACGGCGCCGATTTGCATGTCAAGGTCAGCAAGAAGCGAGAAACTCGCCATCAAAGCGGCTCTTCAAGCGCAGTGTTGTCTTGCTGCAGAGGTATCCAAGCATGCCAAACCATTGTCTATCGCCACATGGTGCCTAAAGTCGAGAGCTCTTCCCTGAGATTCTTGAGTATCAATGCTGCGGACAGTACTCCAGCACTAAGATCCAGGTCCATGAAACAACTCTAGCTTCTGGTTGGCAAAGTTGAGCCTAACCTCAAACATCTGGTTCTGCGACGCCAATAGTGCTGTCGGCTATTTTCCGGTGCCTCCTAACCAAGGCACGGTTGCATATATCAAAGTTCTACGAAATTTATTGCGTCTCCAGCTCCATGAGAGGGTTTCAGGTCGCTAGCGCCGACGCGCAGTCGGCACGCCCTGTATCTTAGTGGAGGTCACTTGTCGGAGTTAGTGGGCTCAGAAGCCACCCGTGTAAAAAACAAGCTACCCAAAAGCACACAGTTCTCACAATCCAACGAAGTTGTAGGAAAAGAAAGGCCGCCGCTTCGGGGGCACCGAATGGAGACTGCGTCGATTGCATCCTGTCCAAGTCAGCATTTCCAGGGGCCGACTCAGAGGCGACGCTTCAATATGAATTTTAAGCTCGGACCATAGTGAACGATCATGAATTTATCGACAGGCTCACAACTTTGTCCCTAACCATGCCAAGGAGACACTGTCAGGCCGAGCCAACTCCAGCATCCGACTCATAAGTTACTTAGGGAAGGGAGTTAGTTGACTTCGTATTGCGCATTTGTACTATTTAGCAGCACCCTATATAAGAAATACCTTGAATTGGTAGAAGCATGAACGAACACGCACTTTATGCAGCTCTCGATGGCCCCATTCATTGCCCTGCATGCCCACCACAACGGAAATGCCTCAGTTTCAGGTCTGGTTGCTAAGGGTTGCCTATGTTTAGTACATATTGTTAAAGAAGGCAGATCTGAGTCCTTCTTTACTTTACAGGAATAGCATAAGCCGTGCGATGGCGTTGAAATTTCATGTTTTGTGTGTCGATTTGAGCCGATATGGTGTGTCTAATATAACTGGTGGAACTACAGAGCTGAAATCACCTGGCGAGTGGCATGATATCTTCTCTAATTCTTGCATATTTTGTTTTATGATTCTGTAGTCAATCCAGCTTGATTTAGACGCTTGGCTCCTGGGGCAGCATGAGCGCACGAGGCGGGGCGAGCTGGAGCAGTACATACAGCAAACAGTATGGCAAAGACCGCTGGAGTAATTTGCTTCAAGCTCTTTCTGAACCTCCCAATCAACTGGCTTTTGTAGCCCCAAACATATCCCACAGCGCTCTTCGTTACCTTTTGAGAAAACAGCGACTCGTTCCGTGCATAATCCCCAACTGCCTCACCTGCTCGGATAATGCACCGGTTAAGGAGAATGACGCATTTAACACGAATACAGCAGCTACAGTTCGTGGGTCTCAAACAACGGCAGCGCCTACTGACTGCAACGCCAGTGACGGGCCCTTTTCAGTTCCGCCCGACTCTACAGCTGAGGCCAGCAGCTGCCCTGCACTACATGAAAACAACACTGAAAGCGTAGCCATTGTCGATGACGACCACGTAATAGAGGAGGCGAGGACCAAAACGTACTTCCTGGGTAATTTTTTGCTGTGCCTCAGCAGCTCTGTCTACATATTCCATCTCTCTTGGAAACACCCGCCCAAGGGTGGAGTCCTCTGCCCGCGCATGCTTTGGTTTTTCCATGTGCTGGTGTCTCTACACTTCCTCAGACGGTGCTTCGGCTCTCGCCGCCTTTGTCCTTGAAGCGCGTCCTGGCGAGGTCGTGCTTGACATGTGCGCAGTAAGTGGCAACGCAAGCGCATGCTGTAAATTTCACTTTGGGGAGGCAGTTATATTTATGCATCTATATGGAAATATTTGCCCGTCAAAATTACAAATTTTAAACCAAGGACGCATGAGTGTAAGTGCGCACTATACTTATTCGTAGGCACCAGGGGGTAAATCCTTGATTATTTCGAGCATGATGTCACAAGCAAAGCTTCCATCATACATCATCGGGAACAACAGTATGTCATATGAGATCGACAGCATTGACAACGATGACGAAGCGGGGGGCCTGTTGGTATGTAACGATGCTAGCCGAGACCGACTTGCGCGGTAAGCTGCTTTGGCATTTATACAGGTTATCAAAGACACGCCTGCTAATGGTGACTGTTGTGCCGCTGCATAGCCGAAGGATGGACTGGGGGGCTTTCCGTATGTTTTTTCAGGTTGCAGGCAACACTTACGAAGTTCCTGCCGCCGTATGCCACTGCAGGGTGAGCCGCCTGCGTTGTAGCGTAGGACCGTTTCAGACATATCCCCGCCCACACTATAGCCGAGCTTGAGTGTCAGAATGGAGTTCTTGTGGTGCAGCCGATTAATGTGCACAGGCAACGGCTACAGTTTAGCTGCGCAGATGTTTGCAAGGGAGGTGCATTTGGTAAGATAAACGATTTAGGCCCAGTCCCACCATTACCTGAGTTATGGAAATAGTACTTCTTTTTCCCTGCAAGGAAGCAATAGGCATTCGGTGAATGCATGCGGGTTGGGGTCTCCCACGGAATTTTGGGTTTACTATGATTGGGCCTTCAGAACGCTTCGCACCATATGACAGGATTCTGCTAGACGCCCCTTGCTCGTCTGATAGACATCTCCTCCGCAAGGGAGGATCCGCAGTTGCCAAGTGGTCGCAGGGTGAGAGTTGCTCCAAGTATATGCGTCGAGGATGTAGCGACACCCTAAACTAACTAGCACTTAATCTCTGTGGCTTCTGTGGTCATCACTGTCTGTTGGAAGTCTGCTTGCGCTACAGTGAAGCGTATGTCATACAGTGCGGTTCCACAGGCACTCCAAAGGCCCACGCAGAAAGGCAACTTAAAATGCTACTTATTGCGTCGAAGCTTTTGAAGAAAAATGGCATTCTTTTGTATACTACGTGCTCGCTGTCTGAACTTGAAAATGATGGCGTAAGTACAAAATCAACATCGAGCCCGAGAGAGGCTTTACCGTAGAAGCAAGCAGAGGTTTCACATTGGATAGTTTGTGGCTCAGGTCTTAGAGTCGAATGCTAGCATGCTAGCACATATACATGGTTTGCAATACGTTTGGACCAGAATGTTAGAGCGGCACGTGAAGCCACAACGGATCACAGGCACCGCGTAGCTGCATAGGGGCTAGGCCACTCTTGGTCAGGCACTGGGTCGAGCCTAATGCTGCTCGGGCCCTGAATGCCTTTCAGGTCATTGATAAATTTCTGAAAAAGGCAAAAGGGAACGTGAAGACGCTGCCACTATTTGATGGGGAATGGCCTGCGGAAGTCAGACTAGAGGGCGCTACAGCGAATCAAGACGAGACGACGCACGAAAATGCAGGACGGAAAAGTGGCTCTGCATTATTTTCGATTGAGAAGCTTAAGCATGGTTATGCAATGCTTCCAGACGTGTCAAGATTCGGGCCCATGTACTTCTGCAGGATGCAGATCCTGGGGCACTGACTGCTCTTAACTACTTTGAACAAGCTGCTCAGCTGCACAGTAAGTGCAGCGTGAGCGAGCAGTATGGCCGATACAATGAACTATCGTTCTTAAATGTCTTGGGGCTGCTCGCAGATCCATATGATTAGTTATTCGATTAAATCTTGAATACCTTCTCACATGGAACTACCAGAACAGGCTACGCGAAGGTTCGAGAGCCGTTTATACAAATTCAAGCTTTTCGACAAAAACAGAAAAATAGGAATACTGCAGACTTCCTTGAAAGAGTAATTTCTCCTCTTTTGCTGCTGACTCAAGTGCGTGGAGGAGGTGTACTGTTGTTACAAATGCTTATCAACTGGCACCCCCAGGAGTCACTGCTTGAAACCCGTATTTTACTGTCAGTGGGCGAGGTTCTGGCTCCTACAAGCAGACACACAAGCTGCAGAAGCAAAGCTAAGTGCTGCAGCGGTCACTGAACTGTTGAGGTTTTGTGATTTTTGCAAGGAGGCCTACGTAGTGCATATGCTCGCCCTCATGAAATATGGCAGCCTGAGCTAACTTACACGCAATTCGTGGCCAGATTCCTTTAGCCGCTGAATCCGAATATCCCCAAGCTGCTGACGCAGCGTAGACTCATCTACATCTAAACCCTTCGTCTTGCAGAATACTGCGACTGCCTTCAACATTGCGGCGTCGTAGTCGCTGCACTCTTTTTCAACCTATATGCGGACATTTGCATACTTTCTCAATCGGAATTTTGCTGGTTTGGAGCTTCAGCACGAGAACGCTGCATTGGCTGTTCGAGCACTTAAATATTAGGCAGACACGTTGAGCTAAAGTGCTGCCTTCATCCTGGTGATTCCGTCACAGCTTTGCACCCATGACAAATTCGGCAGCTGGATAGCTCACCCGCTGTGCAATTTCACCCATCATTATTCCAAAATGCTTCCTTTCTCGCTCGAGCTGTTCCTTCATAGCCTGGTGGCTGAGCCTATAGCACTGTATTCTCTTCTCTGCCTCCTGAGGAGTCCACGAGCCAAGCAGTGATAGAAAGATGTAGAAACACGTGAAATGCACCAGTGGATTTGCAGTATTTAAGATACAGACGCCTAGGGACTCGGGTAAAACATACCCGGACAACAAGAGCATCAAATTGTTGGCGTTTGCTTATCATTGCCTTTTCGAGGTTTGCACTGCACACAAACATGAAATCGCACTTTGGACTCTTGTCTGTTCATGTAGCCCCTGTGTTTTCTGGCGTGGATCTGCAAAGCGAAGTAATTTCAACTGTCTGGCAAGGCGACTCACCACTTAGTCCGGAGCTCCTCGCGCTCATTTTGCGCTGCTTTATGGGCTTCCTGCGCCAACTGGCGATATTCTTCGAGAGCCTTCTGGATGCACATGTATGCAAATGTCTCGCCCAAGACGATGTGTTAAAGGTGTGTTAAAGCTTCATCTCTAACTTGCACTCGGTTGCTGCATGAAGCGCCCACCTTTGTTCTTTCTTTCAAATCTTTTTCAAAGTTTCTGCATGCTGTCTCTGCGAGTTCGCGGGCCTTTATTCGCTCGGTTTGCACTTTTTGACGCTCCTGACGCGCCGTTTCCACAGCCTCTGTTGCAAGGTTTCTGTACTTGCGTATTATGAAATCGACCTGTTGTACTAGCGTTTGTTTCAAATCGCGCTTTTCCTTTTGGATTCCGTTCCGAATGAGCTTGAGCTGTCTCTCATACTGCATGCGCATCTCCGCGTTCCTTGCGCGCTCTTCTTCCAGCAAATATTGCAGCTCTTCAGCTGTGCGTGTAACCTGAAGATGATGTCACCGAAATGTGAAATGAGATGCTGGCGCAGGTTTCTGTGCAGCCCTTTTCTAGGCATGGGAAACTCAGGGAGTATGCGCTTTTTCTCACCTTCGTGAGTTGTTCATGACTTGGCTCGAGCCATCTGCAGCGAAACGCACAATGGCAATGAAAGAGCCTTCCACTTAAAGAACAGCAACCGTCGTGTTCTAGCTAACTAAACGTCTGCCATGAGCTCGAAAAAACAGATGAAGATCCTCTCACGTGGATCCAGGTGGCTGATAACGACACCCCTCATACGGAGAGGCCAGATGCTCAGTTCGGGCATCTGCCAGTTGCTGCAAATTAAGACAAAAAACGAGATTTCTCGAGAGCTTTTGGCAGGAGAAGCAGCATGCAGTGGATCATGCATAGAATTCACTGTTCGAGCTGAGATTTTCATGACTGATTTTTTCTGGTAACTAGGGGATGACGTGAGAGCGTTCAGATCCGCTCACACTACGGACTTACCGCGTATGCTTCATCAAGTTGGGCTCTTAAAAGCTCTCTAGAGTCTTCTTCGCTAGCTATGCGTGCAGTTAGCGTCTGGACTAGTTGAGTCAGCTGTTCGAGCTGTACAGCAGTACACGCAGACACACAGACAGGGCAACACAATGAGACACAAGAGCGCTGAGCTTTGCTTCAGCTCCATACGATTTTTAGACCGCTTACTTGTTCCTCCACTGTGTTGACGCCCAAGCCAAGGTCGGCCGGTGATGTGTCGTCTTGGCTTTCATGAGCCATTGGGGACTTTACAGACTTCGGGTCCCCCGAAGGCCCTAAATGCTTGGACAAACCGAGGTTTTTTGACATCTTCCATATAATGTGATAGCTAGAAGGATAGTATTGGTCGTCCTTCAATCATCGTTAAGTGGTCCTCCCCTGCAGGGGCAACCGTGCAGTGCCTCCGCAGCTCACTTGCATTCGGCTGTATGGAGGGAAGACAATAAGCTGAGATATGTTTGTTTATGTTAGTATTTTGAAGAGTGTGACAATTATGGAGCAAGCGCCAGCTAAGGAGATGTCGATCTGAGTCCACAGACCCACTGGCGCCTTAAGGCTACAAGCACAAACACTGAAACGACACTTTGGATTTTTGCGTTGTCTACAGTAAAGCGAGATGCGACTCGCATTTGAATACCAAACTGTTCTTTCTCGGAATGCATATGTGGTGTAAACTGGTAGGGCAAAACTTATTTTCTGTGGTCAAGAGGGCGCAGCGCAAGACCACTGCCGCTGGGGGTGATCGCAGGCCAGCGGGCTCAGTGACCGTTGGCACCCTTGTTGCAGTCTTTAAGAAATCTTGTCCCAGTTTGACTTTTTTCTCCTTTTAAGTTTAAATAATTTAAATTTTAGACGCTTGTTTCCGGGACCACACTTCCAGACAACCTGCGGCGCCTTCCCCTCTGCGAATTCGCTCAGCAGTGTTCAGCAGCTTTCCCACGGGTAGACCAAGTGGAAACATAGATGTAACTGGTTTTATTGTTTTAAATTAATCTATAGGAGCTTTCCGAAATTGCTCGTGCTTTCCTCTGGCGATGGAGGACGTCAACTTTGGAACAGACTAGCGGCAGTTGACACGGGCTCGCGTTGCATCTCCTCATTAACAGCCCCTTAAAGGGCAGAAACAAGGGTTTCTTCCTTATGAAGACGAGTAGACATGCCATTTCTTGTGGTCTCGAGCACAAACGAGGACTGGGTCAGAAGGTGTGCGCTGGGGCCGGCTGGTCGTGAATCCAGACACCATCCGACATGCTAACGATCTACGCATGTACTCCTTTACAACTTCGCCCAGGATGAGCACAGGGAGGCACGAAAACGTGGGAGGTCGAGTGCGTCCTCCCGTCTTGGCGGTCCCTGTTCGGGAGGCTTCTCCTTCCCGTTACTCTTCAGGAAATGCAGGGGACGGCGGTGAGCTGAAACGGGAGTCCAGAAGGACTGTGAGCTCAGCCGCTCGAGTCCAACGGCCTTTACCGTCGGGGTCAGAAGCGCCAACATCCCCTGCCTTCATGAAGCTGCTCTCACAGCGTTCGCCCAAGACTCCCCAATCTCAGCGCTCTCGGAGCCCTAGCGTGATGTCCCAGCTCTCCGGCAGACGCAGAGTCAGCAGTCCAACCATAGCTGCTCGTGCCTGGCTAGGATCTTCTTCCGATACCGCTTCTCAATCGCAGGCTTCGCTTGCCCGCGCCAACGGTGACAGTGAGAGATGTTTCCAGAGCCGAGAGCAAAACGCGGCATCTTCCCAAGAGTATGCCATTCTCACTCGCTCTCGTGGAACGTCTATCAGGCGAAAGTCTCGTGAGGATCACGACGAGCCGGAAGAGAAAAGAGGACAGTCCAGCAGCTGGCAAGGCCACAGGGGCCACAAGCCCAGCCATAAGAGCTCGAAAAGAAAAGAAGGGGCTATGCTAGTCCCGAGGGAAAAGAGTGCAAGTGAAGTTCCCAGCAGTGCCTGTAGACCTCCCCCGCGACAACTGATATCACCTCGTCGGCTTCCGCCCCCAACTTTTGAGAAAATCTTGCTAGGATTGGTGGATGCGGACTTCGCATCCACTACTGGCGATGCGGATGTGTTCGGGGCTGAGCGTGCGAAGGAGACGGCCTTTCCTGAGACACAGCAAGAGGACGATTGCACATCTGTATCTGTATCTGCTGACCCTCCCGAAATTGTCATAGGTACGTCTCATCCATAAGTGACTGACAGCCGCCGTATGAAAACCAAGTGACGGATCATAGCTACGAGACACGGACATAAAACATGCACGCTTGCCTGATGCTCCGGTTCGCAGTAATACTCTACTGGGCGGGTTCGCATTTTCCTTTGGTTGAAAATTCGGCATGATGTTTACAACATCAGACACTTGAGCTTGCGGAGAGCAAGGCGTGGGACTGGTTTTGCGCAATGCCTTCTACTTGGGCGTGTTTCGCAGACCCAGCGCCAATCTCATCTTCTTCTACTCCTTGCTCTACATTCAGACAGCCGCTAGAGAAGAAAGTGGAAAATCAGAAGGACGGACTTATACCTGAGCATTATCTTTACATTCCACCTTTGCGTCTTTGTGCGTCCTCTGCGGAAGAGGGCAGGCCGGTGCCAGCCCTCAGGAAATCCTCAGAAGACGAAAGCCAGGTTTCCGTTAGGTCGGGCATCACCTGGACTGCCTTCCGATTCGCCTTAGTTTCTTGCTCCGCCTCATTGTTAGGAACGCTCTTGTTGCTGCGTACTCGTAGATAACCAATAGTGCCGTTTTCCCCGAGTCTTGTTGCCTCATTTTTTTTCAGAGGCTTATCTCTGTTGAAAGTGGTCTCAAAGTGTGGTTTTGCGTCCTTGTCATTATAGGGAAGATCGCCGACACATAGCGACGCTGTTTTCACTGGAAGCAGCAGAGTCAGTAGCTCAGAAAACACGACTTCAGGAGCAGCTGAAGGCAACGAGCCCTTTCCGCTTGGCAGAACTCGGGTGTAGTTCATCTTCTTCTCAAAGCGAAGGGATAGAGATAAGTGGTCCTCCTGGAAAGTCGAAGCGGCGCCAGAGGTCCACTCTGTTGGAAACCATTGTGCGTGAGCATGACTGGGAAGACCAAGAACAAATACTGCAGGACAACATCCACATTTATGCAGACCAACAGGAGGCGGGAGAGGACGCAGGCGAGTCCGAGTCACCGCCGCCCCTAATAGAAGACAACAAGGAATGGGAAGTATTTGCCAGTGATGGAGACCTGAAGGGTGAAGCAACTGTTGTAGTACCTACAGGCACAGGTAGCCCTCATACCAGTGACAAGGAAAGTCCTAAAAGCGTCGAAGCTGAGAGACCAGGCCTTAATTCAAGCAAAAGACCTGGGGAACATGGGAATGAAGACATTCCAGGATCTTTTGATGCTGTCTGGGGACGCTCGGATCGTTCCGCTCAAAGTCGAACTGGTGCTCCAAGCAAAGACAGCCAATCTGATGATGAGAACGATCACCATGAGCTATTCAGCGCAGATAGCGAAGACCAGAAAATAAGACGAATGGCAGATTTCTTGGGTATCTCTCCGCTCCACTCAGTCGACAGAGATATAATGAGTGAAGTTACTAGCCGGATAGCTTTTGCAGAAGACGCTTCAGTAAGTTCTTCAGATGAAAGAGGAAATGCTCAAGATGATTTATCGGCTGCACTATCCCCAGAATGCCTAGAAGTAGATGGAATCTATGAAGGGGTCACGATGCTGCGACTGGGAGACCCTACGGAGTGGGAAGTGCGTTTCTCAACCGATGATTGCTGCTCAAACAGCCCCTGCGAGTCCCCCTTTAACAACAAGGAGCCAGCATTATCGTCAACACCAGAAGCTGATGGTGAGCTGTGCAAAGAATATGCAGGGGATGAGTCTGCGGAAACTGAGGAAGCAGAACAAGCAGAAGAACACAACCATTACACGCAGGGTGTTGAGCCGTCAGGCCAGTTGCCTGAAGCGCCGCCAAGCCTCGCAGGTCCCTTCTCCCAAGAAAGGAGTACCCCATCGGACCAGTCAAGGATGAATAGCTATAGCAGCGCTCAGTTGGTATACATAAACGCAAGTGACAAATCCAGACCGCCTTCAGAATCCGGGGGTGCAACTGTGCGCGTCTCTAGTGAGCTCCATCATGGTGCTGCCCTGGCCGTAGACACTCGTCTCAATTCCCTTCAGTCCGTTAAAAGCGACGACTTGCAGACAAATTTGCCCGTAACGCGGCGGTGTCTGTCACTGGCGCTGCAAGGCCAGAAAGTGGTACGTATTGCTCTTAGCAAATCTTCTTGATTTGCAGCTTCACACACCCTTAGGCAATTCTTCCTAGGAGCAGCTACCTTACTTTTTAGTGTCATATGATGTGCTGTTGAGATACTTTTATTGTTTGAGTCGCGCTCCTATGTTTTCCATTCTTGGGTTATCTACTAAGGAATCGCAGCTTCAAAAGGCACAGCCAGCACTTTTCAAGTTTCGCGGGCATACAAAATTTAAGAGGTCAAGGAAAACTAATTTGCCTGTTTCCTTTCCATGTTTCTCCTTTCAGACCTTCCAAAAGCAGCGGGGAATCCTAGAGAAGGACAACACCGTGACGCCTGCTGAGTCTGCAACTGGAAGCGATTCGACCGCTGGGGAATGGGCCGACCGAACAGCCAACCCGGTCCACGGCAGCACAAGTAGCAACTTCCTTGGCGAAAGTGAATACATTGTTTTTGAGGAGTCTCAGGACGAGAAATTACCTCCGAAGGTGCAGCGGCTCCGTGTGACCACACGAGCAGAGCCTCACCTCGTTGTTTCAGCTAAACAAGTGCCAGGGGCTACGCTACGGCGGCCGTCTCAATGTGATAAACTTCACACTGCCGAAGACTCTGTTAAAGCAGATGCCTGGCAGGAGTCAAGCACGATGCCGGCCCATGAGACTGCGGCCGATGAGGTCGACGGTCTGCAGACAAGTCGTCAAACCAGCGGCTCTCTCTGTGAAGTTGATTTGTCTGAACCCTCCAAAGCATGCAGTAGTTCTGTCTCTTCCTTGCAAAACCCAGATCCAATGCCAAATCGTTCCGTGGAATCTATAGAAGCTGTCAACCGCGCTATTGTTGGGTAAGCCGGACGCCAGGCTGACAGTGTTTTCCTCACGTGCTTATGATTTTCTCTCTGGGAGTGCCACTTTTGCCAGCAGCATTGTATGTGATTGTACCTACTGGGGGCATTAGTTTCGCACGACATTGAACACCTGGGTGTGTGCTTTTATGTGGCTTTGCAGATACGCCTTCGGCCGCAGGCTACATGTTCTCATAGTTGCTTGCTTGCTTTTAGCGGTTTTGGCCATGG